TTTGTTGTTGAATACTGATCAGCATCAAAGACACTTAATATTAGCGCTTTTACTAGTACCATTTTTTTTATTTGTTAATTGAAATACTTTTAAGATTTGTACTTTGAATTTGCTGTTTTCACTGTGTTAGTGTGTGTGTGTATAAGTGTATTTATGTGAATTGTACAATGTATAAGTTTAATCACTAGAGATTGCCAAAGTCTATACCGAAGAAAGAAAGGAAAAAATGTTTTTTACTAGGTAATCCCTAATCCTACTGACCCTAATTTTTCAGCACTGAAACAGGAAACACAATATTTTTTAGACCCTAAGCACAAGACCTAACAACCCTAAGCACAAGACATAATACAGTGTTTGTCTTATATACGGCTATTCCGAGATCAGGGTGCGCCAATGGCATCGTGCATCGTTATGTCAATCTTACTCTGTATTTATCGCATTCTGTTGACATTTATCAAACTTGTTATACTAGTACAGTTATTTTCCAGACAATCAGGAAAAGATTTGGTGTTAAGATGTTTAAAACTTATGCTATGGCCAATTTAAGACCAGAAATTGGCATAAAATCTACGTTATGCTGTTGCACTTGAAAAATGCCAGTTTTTGAAATATGCTTTTAAGTAATTTGGGAACAAAAAAATGGAATGAAAAGATTTGCAATATGTTCAGACATGCTCAGTCTGATATGTTTTGCAAAAAACCTGATGATGATTGGAAATTTCTCTTTTCTAGAGCGCATTTATCAATATGTTGTACACGTTATGTAAAATTCATAAATTAACACATTGCAATTAACTTATCTCCCTGTACTAAAAAGGATGGTGATAGAATTGGCCATTTTGCATGTTATGCAAGGTACATCCATATATGACACAAAACATGTGTTTTTATGTTGCTTGTCCTTTGGGTTAATATGGCTGATGGCTTACAGTTACCTGTCTTTTTTGTCCGAGAAAATGTGTAGTGTCCGTTGCTCGGTAATAACTTAAAATAGAAAAGCTGTGGGTGCATATGATTTCAGGTTTTGAAACAGCTGAAGATGCTGACTTAAAACACAGTAGCTATTTCAGTCTATTGCTGTAATTATATGAAATAATGTCAAAAACCTCAAGGGTGTAGTGTCCGTTGCCATGTAGTGTCCGTTGCCAAGTATACCTATATTAGGTACATTAATTACATTTTGTTGCAACTTTGAAGTAATTTTGTCATTTATGTTATTTCTGTAGCATTTTGTCAACCCCTAAATGACAGGTCTTGCAAGATTTGGTGTTCTTGTCATGTACTTGAGCGGCCAGACGTGGCCGGCAACGGACACTACAGCTTAGCTGTAGTGTCCGTTGCCGGCCACATCTGAAATGAGTGGGCTAAGTTTGGATAGAGCACAACTTTTGAACCAAACGTCTCTATCCAAAAATTTAAAAAGTGCAATGTATGGCAACACCTCTAGTGCGACTTTCTGCACTGAAAGTAGAAAAATATAAAACTTGAAAAATTGGCCCAAGTGCAACCCTTTGGCGCACCCTGATCTCGGAATAGCCGATAGACTTATATAGACTTATATAGAGAAGTGAATAACCTGTTTTAGCCGTGGTCTTCATGTCTGGACCAGCTGTAGAATTGGGAGCATTTTGATCTGGTTTGGAGATGACACCAGACTGTGGCCTGCTGTTAAATATGTAGGAAATTGTGACCTGCACTGTTTCACAAGATTTCACCTCAGAGTCTGTACTTGAACCTGAAAGAAAGATTTAAAAGAACCCAATGGCACAAATCTATACATGTATGTGAAGTTGTAACAATTATGTTACAGTGGGTGAGGGTACATTGTACATGTACATTGTAAGTACTGCCTGCATACGATAAAGTAGCAATCGCACAGAGATCGTACGGTATAAGCATGTACAACTCACCACTTGTGCAACGTAGCAGATGCACGTTTAAGAACCCACCACACTTACAAAAAAATATCAGGGGACCTTCCCAGAGTGAGTGGTTCAAACCTTACAGTCTGGTCTCATGGTTGACATCTTCAGGACTGAGGTGGTAGTCACCTGTTATGTCAATCCTTCCACAAATGTGGTAAATCTTCTTCATGAAATAAATGAAATAAGTTCCACTAACTATGATGATCATAGTTTCTCAATCCTGGGTTGATAACTCTGGTACTTGAAGACATTCATGGCTATTTCTTTAAGCTTGAATGTCTTTTTGTTGTGGCCTGTTAAAAGACTGTTGCAAGAATTTTACGACTTAAAAGTTGTAAAATAGTGGTGATAGAGATGTAAACACTGCTATAGATCTACATGTAATGGCAAGCAATGGCTATTATCAATAATGGTTATGGAGAAATATATTAGGTACTGAGAAACATTTAAACCATTTCATTTTGCAAAATGTCTACTAGTACTAGTAGTAGGTATATTTACCAATTTGAGGGTGACAAGCAAGTGGACATATGTTACCTTCAAAAAGTACTGCATTACCAAATCCTGATTTATTCTTCATGACATTATGTAAAATTTCAGGGCGGCAAAACAAAATATTCTGTATGCGTGAATATAATATATTATTATGACATTGACTGCCATTTTTAGCACATTTTCATCATCATTTTATACTCAAAGCGTTTTAAATAGCCCCAAAACAAGCTATGCGAGGCATTTTTGGGTACCGCCAAAAAAAATAATAGGAAAGAAAAGAAAGGAGCCGTGTCAACATGACACAGGTATGTGTGGAACATGTGACAAACCCTGAAGGTGCACAGCTATAATTATATAATTTATAAGTCTACCTGCTCACAGTCAAGCCCACAAACAGTGAACAGAACGTGCGCCAGGATGAAAAGGGCTACCATGATTAATAAATCTATATAGCTAGAACCAACTCATGATAAAAAACAAACAACCATATTCCATCAGTGACATCGCATTCTTGCCTCAGGGGTATGGTTGATTCAGCTTGCTAAAAGAATGACCCACAAAAGTTGACTTCATGAAAATCCAGTTTTGCCGCCCTGAAATTGCTTTGGATACTTTTTAAAGACTCAAACTTTACCGTTCCTAGTGAATTCTTTCATCAGTGACAACTTGGAAGGATAAGGATACTAACCTCCAAATTTTCGATGGCTATCAGTCCATCTTGTTCACGGAGTGGCCTAATCTCGCGAGAGCGCGAGACTAGGCCCGAGACTTGCATCGGTCTGTCGGGTCCCACCCCCCGCTGCCTCCCTCCGGAGTAAGGGTAAGTAAGTCTTGGGGAGTTCCCAACCTTCTGTCCGGTTCTGAACAAGATGGACTGATAGCCATCGAAAATTTGGAGGTTAGTATCCTTATCCTTCCAAAGTTGTCACTGATGAAAGAATTCACTAGGAACTGTATCTATACGTGACAAATGAATTCAACGATATTCAAACTTTACCGAGTGAAGTGAAGTGGCCGATGGGAAGTATCAAGCAGACCCAGACCAACAGTCCTCTACTTGCACCCATCCTTCCTCCGAAATAGAATCCCAAAATGTCGGGGCTGCCAGTCTGTTCTGGGTTTGTCACACTGTACGGGGAGGTTTTCCTCTGACTACAGTGTGGTAATAAGTCTGCTACAGTGGATATCATTGTTTTACACATACATTAGCAAGGGTCTGCATGGGGGTTCCAGGCAACTCTTAACGGTAAATTTAGGAGGGGCAATAACACTTGATGGTAAATGTTTAATGGTACATTAAGTTGTCTTGTATCATTAAACAAATACTTTGGGAGCGACTTTGGAATGTTCAATAGACAGTTGCATTCATGGGGAATGTCTGTGGACATCTTGGATTTTTTGGGCAATATGGATCGGAGTTTGACTACACGATATGAAGAATTTCTCAAAAAAGTCAAATTCAGGATAAGAAATAATGCACTATCTGGCACTAAGTGGCCAATTATGCTTTGTGACAGCACTTATTTTAAATTTGCCAGCTACGATAAGCGCTGAACTAAAATGGCTCGACATAGCAAGCAATACTAAGCAAAATGGCTCGCTATGTCTCACAGAAAAAGGCATGCAGACCCTCATTGCCTTTATCTTCTGAGGAAAGAACAGTGCCCAACATGACTGGATTGAGAAAAGAGCCGGGTTTGAATACAGAAGCTGTGTGGATGATCTGTTTTTCTTGTACACGTCTTTGAAGTTTGAGTTCAAAAGATAATTGTACAATGTAGTATACACGTTAAGCATTCCTTGATCTTGTAAGACCATGAAAGGCACTACTTCAACACCATGTACTTAATGTTTCCTTTTATTCTTAAAGTGTCTTTAGTAAGTTCTGACGCAAGTCACACGGTTTTTCTTCAATCAATCAATCAACCACAACCACTATCAACCCCCCTCGGTGTAAGCCCTTCTTAAGTGAGAATCCTGTCTCCAAAGTGTTTTATTTGTTGCAAGTGTCTCCCATGTGCAAATATATTGTCCATGGCTTTTTAAGTTCCATTTGACTACAATTCTTTAAAGAGTAGGTGGCCACATGGGGATGCCACATGCTCTTGTCCCATGGCAAGTTCACTGTACAGTTGCTGTAGATACAATGTAGATGACAATACAAACAACAAAACAGGCAAGAGAGTTACACAATCATACACTGTATGCTCCATGTAAGAACACTGCCTGCATGTAAACCTGACATTACTGAATTGAGAAAAAAACTTTAAGGTCTTTTTTATCTTTTCTTTATTTACTTACTTCATGGTTCACCACAAAACAAGGCTCAGTGCAGAAGCTGTGTGGATGATCTGTTTTTCTCATACTTTCTTTGAAGATTTTGTTCAAAAGACAGATGACATGAAACAGTTTAAAGGCCACTGGTCTTTGGTACCACTTCTGTTGGAAGATTGGCATGAAATCATGCATGGCAGCTCCAGGAGTTTTTTGTACTTGTTATCATAAAATTATGACAGCTCCAAGAACAACCTTACCTGGACCAGTTTTCTGACAATTTCTCCCCTTCATACCCTCATGCAGGTTCTGATCTGGGATGTGACCAGTGGAACATGTATCAAGGAACTTCAGGTAGGTGCAGATGACTGACTACTACGTACAGTAGTTCCTTTTATTACACTTCACACTTACTGGGGATTGGACAGATTTTTATATTCAATAATTTACTATTAATTATATGACCTGGCTTCACTTATATTATGAGGGGCAAATTTCACTGGTAGACTATGTAAGTTCAATGACATTTCTTGCTATTTCTTTATGTGCTGATGAATCAGATACATTTGTATATATCCGTCAAAGATGGTGACAGGTGGATTGGGAAAAATTTGTGTCTACTGAGTGGCAAAATTGTTTCTGAACAGTTTTTACTATGATCTATACTTTGTAATTTCTGAGTGGTGTGGGAAAAAATTGTCTGGTGCAGGTAATTGTTAATGTTACCTGCACATGTGTACAGCAAAAAAAAGATTTGAGCCCTGGAAAGTAAACAATCAAAGTATTATCAAGCAAATTAATGCACTACCAAAAATGTTTCTTATTTTCTTATGTTGAGAAATATTTTATTGCCAGGGGGATTTTCAAGAAAATTCAAGAAACATTCTTCAAAGATTTTGTATGTTGATTCTTACAAGAATTTTATTCTTCTTTTTTCTTAAGAAAAGAAAATATTTCCGATCTACTATCATGCTCACCAACAAGAATCTAAAGAATTTTTAGAATTTCAAGAAAGTTTACAATATTTTTTTTCTGCTACAAGAAATCTTTTCTTGTGTACAGAATGGTTTTCTTGCTTCACAAGAACAGTTAGCTCTTAGTTCAAGAAATATTTTCTTGTGGACAGAATCGTTTTCTTGCTACAGCACGTGTGTTTCTTGAAATTTCTTGCTACGGGGATTCTTTAATTTCTTGTTCAAAGAATAATTTTCTTGCTACAAGATACCATTTCTTTGTACATGATTGTATAAGGAAACAAGAAAAACAAGAAAAAAGCATTTTTGGTAGTGGACTGTTACCTTCTATTCTAACATGTTTCCCCTGCTGTAATGTCCAGGGCATGGTGGACCAGGTGCACACATGTAAATACTCCACAGAAGGCACCCTCCTGGCATCAGGAGCTACAGCTGTCACACTCATGGTCAGAACTAAACCTTCACAGGAAGAACAGAACACTGCAGAACCTGAAACTTCTACAGACTGTAGTTTAAAGACAAGAGTCAGCAGAACTTCAAGTCCCTGTCACACATAACAAAATATGGCCTCTGTCCAAACTCCCCTCAACCATGGTTAGGAGAGCATGTCAGCAGAACATACTGCACATGGGCAAAACCCGTAATGTATTGTGCATAGTACTTCGGCAGAACGTCTCATATAAGGTTATATTTGCTCATATAAGGTTAGCATTCCGACAGTAGTTTTCAAGTGTTATGACGGAAAAGATATCGTCTGCAACAGGCAAAATTCTAATGCAATGTTGACCAAAAATCCAACGAAAACTGCGAAAATCCATGGTTCTGCGCAGGCGCAGTACGTTCTGCCGACGTGCTGGTTAGGAGTAGGTAGGGAGCAAGGTTGGCTGTGATTGGGCAAGGTCTGCTACCGTTTGACAGCACCATATACATTCATGTAGTGTACACTGTATATAAGGACCTAATGGAAGTGTACTGTGTGTTGCCTGAAATCTTTGTCCAACTGTCCTCATACTGTGTCTATGACATGTATACTTTGAAAAGGAATCTAAAAGAGAAAGCCTAATAGACAGTATTTTTGTATGCTAAGTATAGGTCTGGAGTGTTGTACATAATGATTAAAGTCATTTAATTATGTTTGAAGACTTTGAATGCATGTCCCAAGGCACCCACTCTTGCACTGTCACCGCAGACGCCAGGTTGCAGCTTTTAATCAAAAATTGACTCTGTTCCACCTCAGACAGCATGTTAGTGATACCTTTACTAGTGGCCTGGCTTACGGCTTGCCTTCTAAAATGACAGCAACCTGAAATATTGATGGGCAACTTAGCTTTTGGCTTATGTTGCCTAGAGAAGTGGGTAACCTGAGAAAAAACTTGTAGGTGCTGTGTACCGGTATGCTGGACCAGTTCCGGAAAAATGTTTAGATCCAAGTCCAAAAAACCTAAAAGTCAAGAAACGACTCTGGAGTCTTGTTAATAGTAATGTTAAAAATTCAAAAAAATCCCATGTCACATTCCCCTTTTCTTTCCAAATCACCTAAAACCCTCGGAGCCATAGATTGCAAATCTGTGCTGCAAAATGAAGAAAACATTGCCATTGGGCATCGTCAAGTGTCGGCCTCCATGTTATGTGGCCAAAGTTTCACCCAAACAACATTGCAAGGTTGCCAACATGCAAAAGTGTATATATGCCATGGGTTTAGGTCCAGACTTGCGAGTCCGGAACTGAACTTAGGCTTACTATAGGTACACAGCACTAGAAAAAAAGTATTTCAAATCCTCAGTGGTTACTCTTAGACTAGACTTCAGAGCAGAAAAGAAATCAATTGCTGAAGAAGTTATCCACAACAAAAGTTTAATCACACTGAAGCCACACAAACATATGGCAAAAGACCACAGTTAACTGCAGTTACAAGAGCCAAATTGAATATAAAATATGTACATGCATCTTATGTGTCGTGCCACATCACATACAACGTGATAGACATGTTTAACAAAACAGTGTTCCACTTGGTAGTTTTCTAGCAGCATTCTTACTGTTGGCTCAACACACTTGTATCTAGTAGTAACTAACAATTGTGCCAGAATACGTCTCTACTTAATATGGCCTTTATTGTATAGAATTCCTAAACAACAAGTTGTATACATGACTTGTATATAAAAATGCAAGGATGCAAGTTTTTAGAATGTTTCATACAAATCAATGTGACACAAAAAAATTAACTTAAAATTCACTGTATTTCAATTATAATGTATCATCATAATACAACTGTTGAAATTATATTTTTGACAGTATTGTCACAGGTACAGAATGAAATAAGTTGAAGAAACTTAAAATATTTTAAAATATACAATGCTTGGCAAGCAAAAAAATTAAAAGCTAATATGTGTGATGGCATATCCCAATATTGAATGTGGAAGTCTGGTGGACTAGAATGCTCAACCGTACTATAAAGGTGTCTGAGATGTTTTGAAATATTTCACTGCCTTCCATGCTGCGTGTAATTTGTTAAGCTACAACAGATGAAAAGTAGTGTTTTTTCTGTCTCACAGAAGATTTAATCCTTACATTTTTGTAGTAATATCATTCCACACATTTTTATGCTATATATTCAAGGTACAATTCATTTTTTATGAAAAGATTATTCTATACTTGCACTTGTGCTATTTATATGTTTCTGGAAGTTGGCAGGGCAAAATAATAGACAACACGTCAAACAATTTTATATTTTAGCTGTACAGATGTGTGTAACGCTTTGAATATGAAGCGCACATGAATTCAATATCAACCATGCATTTTGCCACAATAAAATCACCAAGCATGATGTCTTGTAGTCTCTAGAATTTTCTACCAGTTTTTTTGCTGTTCAAAGTTCTGTTATTATTTTTCTCACACGTTTTGAATATCGGAAACATTTCTAGAAAAACAGGCCTAGGCAGTTCACAATAATTGTCATGGAACATCAGACGACAAGTCACCAGGGGTGGTGCAAGTATTCACAAAACCTTTCAAAGCACATAATACTATATGTACGGTGCACACGTTACGGTGCACGTGTGCACGTTTAATACATTCCACAGCAGTTCGTGTGGCCACACCAGTTTCACTTCAGGGTTCCTACATTTTTTATTAAAGGCTGCTGATTTGAGAGGTTTTGATTAAACTTGTGTCTCAGGGTGGGGTGAGGGGAGTTTCATTCAGGGTGTGAATATCGGATTCAAGTTAAAGGCACTTAATGCAATTTCAGGGCAAAACTATAGATTTTCAAAGTCATTTTTCTGGTCATTCTTTTCATGTGGTACCTTTAATCAACCCTATCCCATAGCAATACTAAAAACTGTTAGGCTGAAAAATGTGACGTTGCTGATGGAAAATGGTTGCTTGTTTTGTACCGGCTGGTTCTAGATATTTATGGGTGGTACCCAAAAAATACAGGGACTCCTTGCATGGATTGTTTTTAGGCTATTTTGAATGCTAAGCAAATATGAAACCTTGACAAAATTGCCAATGTCAGTAAATATGTCATATTTCTTCATCCAGAATATTTTTTGTTTTGCTGCACTGAAATTGTATTGGGTGTGTTTAAAACTCAAATTTCACTTGAAAATGTTGGGGAACCGAGAAAGCTACCACCGGTGTGGCCAGTAGTACACACACAGCCTACGGACACTCCACGTGTGGACGCGTGGCCACCAGCTGTCCCGGGATCTGAGCCTCGGAGCCCTCCATCACCCAGCGGTGGTTGCCACGGCGACGCCGTAGCCTGACGATGTGAGCGTCCACGTCGGCGCCGACCTTCTTGTCACGGATGTCGTCCCTGAGCCTCATTCTGGCCAGATGCAGCAGGCCCAGGTTACGGCTGGTCGCTTTTAAGGACTTCAACAAGTCGACTTGTCCCTGTAGGAGTGACAACAGGTATTTACATTAATTTTGTAGCTCTGCATGTGGAGAGATGTGCTGTTGTATTCCAAGACATGTTATAATTCTAAAACATGTTTTGATGGGGATTTGCTGTTGCATTCCAAAACGTGGTAATCCATACACAAGTTTTAGCTATGCTGTTGGATTCCATGGCCAAAATGTATTATAATTTCAAATCATGTTGTGGAATACACTGTCAGGTGTTAGCTAATAGGCATGAGCAAAGAGGACTTGCTGTTGTGATTCCACTTCTTGTTATTATGTTTTGAAATGGAATGCAACACTTGTTCAAGTTTTTTTCAATTTTTCTTTTTATTAACATTTGCAAAAAATATTATATGGAACAGAAAGCATGGCACATAGTACACAAAGTAAATAACACACAAAGTCATGGGAAATGACAAAACTTAAACATAAAATCTGGAGGTAATGATCTATATGAAGTCCAACTAATGTAAATGAGGAACACTATCAATAAAAAATTATAAAAAAAAATAATAACTAATTTAATAAAAGATAACCTAATTTGAAAGTTGTTTGTGAGACTGCTAAATACTAGTACTAGTTAAATTTCACAGCAGATAAGAATCAATCTCTAGCAGTCTATAATCTTCATTTTTAATGAAAAGGATCCATACTTCTATTAGGTTGTAAAATTGACGTACCGAAATGATGTCGTGTGCCTCGGGCAGCTGGTTGCCCGGGTGACGCTGGTACACGCGGACCAGTGGCCGCTCCAGCCGCTCACGTGTGGTCAGGTCACTGCTGGACACTGGGCCCTGGTCAGGCAAACAGGACACAACTTAGCACAGGATTTACAGAGATGTATGTTGTCTTATTATTACTATTGACAACAGTCACAATACGTCAAAACAATAGCCTGGTTACCAAAGATATTTTAGCTGTCAGTCTCTTTTGTCCTGTCTGCAACAAAAGGACAAAAAGAGACTCAGAGGCTATCAAAACATAAAAAACAATATAAAATACCAATGTGTACAATTCTAACTGACAACATATTACAATGCAGCAAAACTTCACAACATGCATATTATAAGAATTATATAACAACACTGTCAATCATTCATTTCTCAAAAAAAGATACAGACCAAGATTTAAATTCTATTTTCAAACACATTTGGAGCCAATTCTTCAGTTAACTAATATTCTTGATCTTAATTTCTGATAAAAACATGATAAAATTACGTATTTGCCTTTAAAAAATTCTCCCTGTAAGGAAGTAAAAATTGGATTTTGCTGTAATATGTTGCAATAAAAAGACTTGTGTTTAGATTGTACATTTTGTAAGAAAATGTAAAAATGAGATGTAACAGTTTCTCTTGATATGTTTTTCAATGTCTGCCGTGGTTATTCAATGTTTTAGGGTGGGGAAACAACATTAAATTTGGTCTAAAGCTTAATACAATGTCATATAATGTCAGAAAGTATAATTGATTTTAAAAAGGAAAGCACAGAAGATGTTTTACCATTGTTATAGTTCTTGCTTTGTCGGTGGTGTCATACCAGCGCTGTGCCCTGTGCATGGCTGCACGGTTCTCCCCAGAGCTGACTTGTAAATGTTGCTATGGGAAAGAAACAAAAACAATGTCAAACAAGTAAAATCTGAGATTTTATACCTTCGGGCTTTTTATTGTGTATTTTTGTATGTTACAACAACAATTGTTGCGCGCTGCAGGACTAGGGTTTTAAACAAAGAATTTATTGAGACCGGACACCCCTCTGTGCGAGGGGTCACCTTCGTGGACGAGACCGACAATAGCTAATACACGCCAGAGGTCAATGGTCGCGACCACTTTCACGCTCAAAGGGGTGTTCTGGGGCCACCAAAAGGCACCATTTTCACGCCCGAAAACACATATACAATAAAAACAAATTGAGAACGTGCATCATCTGCAGCCCAATAGCAAAACATACAACGAGTCTCAAAAGAATCCGTCCACCCAAACGCAAGAAACAGCTGCGAACATGAAAATCTACATCTCTCACAAAACCCTTCCGCGGAAGGATGTCTCCTCCCCCGGAGGTAATAAAATCAGGGACAATATCAATCTAGTCAAGCAATAGCAAGCATATTGGAATGGGGACACGCATTAATAATTCAAGTTTTCCTTAGTTCACATTGGAAATGGGGACATGCATTTTAATGATTAAAGTCTTTCTTAGTATGGTGAAAATTAGCAATCATTTCATGTGCAATGTATAACAATTACAAATAGGCTACAGTATGAGGTGGTACAGTATAAGTGGTACATTATATTCTATTCAACCAATTGTATCTCCTCTTATCTGAACACCAGAGACCAATCATGAATGATGTATATATAGGATGTCTGATCTGATGGCCTAATTTAAGACATAAAAGATTGAGCTATACCACACATTGTGGAAGGATTGAGGTCACTATTATCTTTTAAGGTGTCAAACCAGAGACCAGACTGTAAGGTTTAAACCACTCAGACCAGGAAGGTCCTGTACTCTTTTAGACAAGATGTGTAATCTTTAATGGGCTCTATGGTGTAGCTCTCTTCACACACTGGACCTCAGCTGTATGTGCCTCCTCTAGCCCTAACCATAGCTCGGAACTCATTTTCACTGAGTAGAGTGAGGAAAATAAGTGTTATGTGCCTTTCCCAAAGACACAACACCGGCGCTTTCCCGGGATTTAAACCCAGAACCCTCTGATTCTGAATCAACAACCTTAACCACAAGACTGGTCTGAATGATGATAAGTAGTCAGTTATTCAGCACCAAGGACAGGGAGAAGCGGTACTCTCTTGTTTCTTTTTGCAGTACACTGGAGGCTTCACCCCATTGAAATTTGGTCATTGTGTACAATGTGCTCTTTCTGTTGGAATAAAGTATAGCATTGTACTATAATAAGTCAACACAGATGAACTTCCAAAATGATTTTACTTTCTCTTTACAAAGCAGACGTACTGTCATAGTGATGGTCTCTGCCATTACTTACACTTTTTAGTCATGTTAGCATCTAATAACACTTTGCGGCAGATTATGAAAACTCAGACCCCCAAAACCCTTTCATCATATTTTTTCTGCGCACCACCACTGACTACAGTATCTGCTGTAGAGGAACTGGGATTTACAAAGCAGACTTACTGTCATAGTGATGGTCTCTGCCAGCTTTTGTGTGAGTCCATCGTTGACAGAGCGGTGTGCAGCCTGCTGCAGCATGGTTGTCTTGTCGATGGACTCCTTGATGGCCCTCCTCAGGGCGGCAGACTTCAGGTTAGCTTCACGAGCCTCCTCTATGGCTTTAGCAGCGTCGGGGGTGTACGGTCCAAGTGGGTCTGGCTCACCTGTTTGATAACGATAAATAAAAATAAATTGTATAGTTCTCAGTGGAAAAAGCACTGCAGATCTTGGCACATTGGTGACACCAAATCCATCTGTGTCCTCATCAGTGTTTGGACTCAGTATATCAGTAATATCTTGACTGACATAGATATTACGAACAAGAATTCCAAGATGTCAGACCTCCATTAACCCATAATGTTTACAAGTCACAACTTTTTAACAGGGGTAGAAAAGGGTCTCCATTTTGTCTAGACAACATAACCCGTTTGCAATCTCCAAGATTTGCAATCCCCTTCTGTATCGTGCAAGCAAAAAAAGCTGTCAAGGAGGTCATGTAATGAAAAACACTCACTGCATTCTGTATAAAAAGTGAGTGCTACCAGATGTACTCGACTTAGTGGTTAATGACTTTCGCAGACTGAATCAAACCATAACCATTACAACCTACATGTATGACCATGCAGAAACACAGACACACACACAGTGTCATGTACATGGACATGCACTACACAGCCCCAAAACAATACCCCCATTTTCCATGGAGGTAATAATGACATACCAAGCATGGGGTTGCTTGGCGACTCCGGTCGTGTCTCCTCCTGGCGAGAGTACCTCCCCTCGCGGCGGGAGGACAGACGGCCGTTAGCGGTGACGGAGGAGACGGCGTGGGTGATGAGATCCATGACGTGGGATCTCTCCTGGATCACGGCAGTCAGCAGCTTCCGAACACCGTCTAACTCCTGTTAACAAGAAACCTCTGTAAGTATATGCTACTTAAAAATTTTGAATATAGTATATATACTATATCATCTATTAGATGATATAGTACAGTTGATTCACGCATTGCTAACCAACATCTTGGGCACTGCAGTCGTCCCTCAGTAAGACATAGTCCCTGTTTAAAACTTTTATCCAGCCTGTCACAAGAAAATGTGTTATTTAGCCAGTTGAATAAAAGTTATAAACGGGAAATGTGCGGCCCCAGATGTCTTGAAAGATGATGATCGCAATTTGCTAGATGCTTGCTTGAGGAATGAATCCAACATACAACTGTAGTTAAAGCTTCAGTTACAACATTTTTTTTTTATTCAGATCTAGAAAGCTGGCTCTGAAACTCAAAGTTTTTAAAGATTGACAAATCAAGTTCCCAGTGGATGAAAATTTGAGGGTATTTCCTGCATATGAGGGCACATTAATTTAACTTTGTAAGACTGAGTAAAGAAATCTTAGTACTTGCCTGTAGATGCTTCTGTGTTTCCCTGAGTTGTGCCTCCAGGGTTTTCTTCAGCTTCAGCAGATGTTTCAGTTCTGCTTGTAGAAGTTCATCTGCACCATCAAGTACCTACAGAACACAGACCAGCAAAATCAGCTTAGCTAAACTGTCTAATACCAATAATAATCTGAATGGCAGATAAGTCCAGGAAAACTCTGGCAGAGGAAGATTTGGCTAGCATTAAAAAATAGAAAATCATTAATAACAACCAGGCAAATTGGCAGAACGTACTGCACCTGTGCAAAAATCTGTAATGTAATGCATAGCACTTTGGCAGAACGTCTCGTTCAAGGTCATATTAATTACACATTTAACGACATTACATCAGATTCTACAGTTTTTTAAACGGTCAGAAAAGATATTGTTTGCAACAGGCAAAATTTAATAAATAAAAAAGAAGTTATACTTTTGTTCAACAAGATAGACTGAGCTCACCTTGAATTTTCAAGTTAATTAATATGAAGCTAATTCTGATGCAATGTTGACCAAACATTCAACAAAAACCATGAAGTATGTTATATTGACATGCCGTCGAATCTTATTTATTGTTTTTGCTACGTTTCCTCTTCTTGTTCTTCTTCTTCTCCAAACAGTGACCTCTGACCTGACTGAACCAGACTGTCTCTCACCATGGTTACTGGTGTTGCATTACATAATGTTGCAATTTTATAGCAGGAGGGATTTAGACTCCTATCTGACCAAATATATGAATGTGTTTGAGGAAGAATTAACAGAGCAGATCATATGCGAAGGTTAACATTATGCATTTGCTTTGCAAATATTACTTTTCTAGTATTTAATATAAACCCCGCTCACCTTTTCCCTGGGAGGCCGTGTCAGCCTGATGGCTGTGCTCTGCTGGTTGAGTAGAATGTCCTTCCTGCGGTGTTCCAGAGCCTTCTCCAGAGCCTCCTTACCCCGGATCAGGGACTTGATCTCCTCGTTTGTCTCCAGCAGGTACTCCCTGAGCCGCACCACCACCATACGCACCTCCCGTACGTACTTGTGGATGGTGGTGTTACTCTGCTGGGCACAGTTATCCCGCAGGGTCGGCAGAGGGTCCAACTGTTTACCCAGGATGGCACCTTTTTCACTCTTATCCACCACCTGGAATACAATCAATAAATCAATCTATCAATCAATCTATCAATCAATCTATCAATCTATCAATCTACCAATCTATCAACCAATCAATCAATCAACCAATCAACCTATCTATCTATCTATCTATCAATCAATCAATCAATATTTCAATCAATATTATTGCTCAACAACTCTAACTGCTAAATTTCAATTTTATCAAAGCTAATCTATTGCATGTTTTTCTTAAGGAGAGTATTATATTACATGCTACGATTCAGGAGATGTGTCAGTTATTTACCTTCAAATATACATTGTTATTTACTAGTAGTTTGTATAAAATATGTGTCCATAATATCACCACTCCACCAGGGTCCATAATATCGCCACCTTGAGAAACAGTGTGCTTAAAGATATTTTTACTGCAACATACCCTAGGTATGTACATTTGATGTGTGAAGAAGTGCATACCAAAAGTATGTTGCAGTAAAAATATCTTAAAGCACACTATTTCTCAAGGTGGTGATATTATGGACCCTGGTGATATTATGGACACAGATGTTACATGAATTAAGCTTAACCCTGCCTACCAAATATTTGCAACCACCTGTTGACCTGGCTCAAGAGTTATCTTCCCTCAAATATTTTTTTAAATGGCCCTGTAGTTCCAGAACAAGCTGCTAGGGAGCCTAAAAAAATTGAAACAGGCCTTGGCATCCTCTGATAGCCCCAAAAGCTACATGTAGTCGCCTGAAGGTCAGCATACCAGGCTGGTTTTTGCTTCAAGCAATAAATTTTTAACTTTTTATGAAAACCTGTTGAATGCATTGATAGGTAGATGAAGCTTTCTTTGTTACTGTCTGGACCAGAATATGGGCATTTGAGAGTTGATTCAGAACATCTTTTCTTTTCAAATCAGGAAAAAAAGAGGGGGGGGGGGCAAATCCCAGAACCACAAACATTGGCATGGCCTTATTTCACAAACTTTACATCTATACTGTAACTCCACCACCATTCTGACATCAGGTCCAATGTGTCTAAATCATTGATCCATTATTGGCAGTGTGGGAGGTAAAAACTGTGCCAATCACACCATCTACAAACAACACCCTGTCACACTCAACAATGGGGGTCCAGACCGTTGGAACAAGGCAACAGTGACAGCAGGTAACCATATTCAGGTCTGAGCAGTTTTCTTGCAAGAATTCTACAAATTCTGTAGTACTGAATTTTGACTGAAATGAGACTGTCAGCAACTGATCAGTTTAAGTGACAGTCACATATCAGTACTGGTGGTTTGCTAAAGGGTGTGCTACTGAATTGTGACTGAAATGGGACTGTTGGCAATTGCGATTGATCAGTTACTGACAGTCACATATCAGTAACTTATCAGATACTGACAGCCACATATCAGTAACTGATCAGATACTGACAGTCACATATCAGTAACTGATCAGATACTGACAGTCACATATCAGTAACTGATCAGATACTGACAGCCACATATCAGTAACTGATCAGATACTGACAGTCACATATCAGTAGCTTATCAGTTGCTGACAGTCTCATTTCAGTCACAATTCAGTAATACACCCTTAGCAAACCTCCAGTTTGCTAAAGTAAAGGTTGACTTTGATATATGACACATCCATAAAATCTCTACAGAGTTTGCTGATGCATAAATAGAAGCCTTTATGGCTCAGAATGATGTTTGCATTGAACAACACAAAGAGTCTTGACTCTTGAGTATTTAACTATTGGCATTTTCTAAAGGCGTGTAAACATTGTTGGTCCCCCTGAGTGTAAATGATCTATAGCCTGGAAAAATGCTAGGAAACAGTCGCTGTGGTGGGAACTAGAAATACCGACAGTCAAAACTGCTGAGGAAGACCGCTCAGGGCACACCAATTTAATTTCTTGGTTAACGGATTCACCCGTTTCATTATTTTCTGATTTGCAAATAAAAATAAAAATTCAGAATCAACTGCAAAATGCTCATATTTTGCCCTGAACAGTTGAAAACAGTCCTTTTCATCCTTTACAGTTATTCCATCTTTCAATGCAATGGTATCATTAAAAGTTCAAAATTCATTGTTTAAAGTTTAAATTTTGAACCAGCCTGGTGTGTTGACTTCATGGCTCCTATTGTACCATTTTGGGCCATAATAGGATGCCTAGGTCTGTTTTTATTTTTTATTTTTGCCCGCCAGCTCCATTATTTTTCTAGAAAAATCCATTAACCAATGAATTAAATTGGTGTGGTCTCAGGGCTCCAAAAAATGTGATCTATGTGAACAGGTGGTCTCTAAAGACAGAATTCTTACTGCTTGTGTCAATGGGAAAAATTATCTAAGGGACCACCAAAAAGTGGCATGGTAATACTTGGAAGTCCAGTGTTCATATAGAACAAAAGCTAAAACTGTAACTATATCAGTGATATCGTGGGGCAAACTTCAGGATATTAGATACTAAAAAGAAATACTTGAAGACTCAAAATCAACATCGCAAACAAAACTCCTAAAGTTTTCATGGGGAAAAAAGTACCTATAGAAGTTTTAAAAAAAACTGAAAGAGAGAAAACTAGGGAAAAACGTACCTGAAAAAATTTAAAAAAAAAAAGAGAGAGAGAGAGAAGACTGGTCCAAAAGTGAACACTTAAAACTTTAGGAAGACTTGACTACTTTTTAAACATCCTCCTCTCTGGTATAACTGTTACAGTATATCTAAAAAAACATAAATTGGGAAGTTGTGTAACAGTAGGATCTATCAGGCCAGGACCTTTTAGCCTTGCGGTTAGTGCGCTGGGTTCATGAGCTGGTAGTCTGCATAATTCGGCCCAGGTTCAAATCCTGGGAGAGTGTATTACTTTCCCCTTTGTGTTTCACTGAAAATAATTCCATTATTTGATACTGAATGGTAACCAAATCATCTGAACAACCTGTGAAATCTAGGCTAGGAATGTTATGGTCTGCCTCTTACACTTTTGTGGTATAAATAAACAGTCAGTCACCCATACCCAACAATGCCAGCCAGTGTCTGTCCAACCACAATATTTCTCTTAGGGGTTGAAACTCATTGCTCAGTGCATTAGGCATCCAGAAATAATTGCATTAAAGTCTCCTGGGATTCTACAAAGGGCAGAAGAAGTGGAGGCTGACGCCAACCTGCTAGAAGTGGGGGAGATCAAGTCTCTGATGAAAGGCAAAAAAGTGATCTCAATCGTTTTAGTTTACTCGATCCTCAAGAGCTAATCCCCCACATAGTAACAGAGAGGACAGATGCTAGTATTTACAAGTTCATTGTACTTTTTTTTTCCCTGGGTCTTTTTGACTAGCACAATGAACAGTGGACCACAGATTAATGTCCAGTCCTAAGGACTGCAATCCTTTCCAGTAGCATGGATGTCAGGTGAGCGACAACAGTCGGGATTCGAACTCCCAACCTCTTAGTCCAGAGCCAGGGTTCTAGTTCAGGTATTGGACACACAGTACTAGATGATCTAGTGATGAGGGATGCTTTCAAGATTAACCTGTATATTACAGAGGCAAATGGCAGGCTACCATCAAGCCCCAGCATCAGTGTGCAGCACGTCTAACCCTCGGAACAACAGACGATAAACCAGATTGTAGCTCCATGGTGAGTGTGAGAGAGTCTCAGGTTCTCAAGAAATAAATAAAAAAATCTCACCATAATTCTAAATAACTTCATTATGCTGGTTACAAGGAGAGAGAGTCTCACTACTTTTCAAACACACTTTTGGTTACAATCATATTGGAAGACTGTCAATGTATTCATCTGTGACCATGGAGGTTATAACCTCCTTGCTGTGACTAAATGTGAGATTAGGTTCCACAGCACTCCTAAACAGTGTAGTTGCTAAAAAAATAGCAACATCACTTCTGAGATTTTAAGTACAAAGCTGGCAAAAAGTTACAGTGGTAACGTTTATAATGGATAATCTGTATGTTGTAATGTTACCTTGGGGCAAGGTATAATGTCCTTGCTTGGGGGGGAACACAATATTTGTTGGCATGTGACTACAATGCATTGTAGCTAGGGGTACAAACGCCCGGTACACACTGATGCAATCATTCTAAATTTTCAGTAAGTTTCTATGTTAGAATATATCTAACAGCAGGAGTCACAAACACTGTATATTTGTATCTATGGCGGTGTGTTGTACAAATAGAACACACACACCGGGTGGTGTGGACCTGTCCTGCAGCCTTACCTTCTGTGCCACCTTGATGCCGCGGACCGTCGCGTCTCGCCACGCGTCTGGGCCGATCGTGGCGGTCGCCATGGGCAGGACACCCCTGGTAGTCACTGCCATCTTGTTCCTGCGTCAAAAAATCCAAGGGAAAACCGTCGCCAGGAGTATAGACACCAGGCGTGTAGCTTTAAAGCCGTGTATTGTTGATAAAATCAAGTCTCCTTGCCGGAGGCGTCATCTCCATACACACCGTCGTTATGGAAACCGCCGCACAGGCTTCTGGGAGTACCCCGCCCCACTCAGCTGCGCCCTCTAGCGGAACCTTTGTGATTTACAACAGCAACCCTACCTAGGTGACACGTATATGTTATCGACAGTAAGACCGTCGCCAGTAAACTTGAAATAAACACGGTTTGGGGCAAAGATATAGCTTTCTATAGGACAGGAATGTATGGGGTATTGACGACAGTCGTGCAGAACGAGTAAAACGTCACGCATTGCACGTTTCTTACTCTCGGAGTCGGAGCAGTCGGAGGTGAGATTTGTGGTACCGCCCCCCTCCCCCACAATTTGGATTGACTTTGGCCTGGCCATACAACGTTAACTTCAAAGATGAGTGATACACCGGCCCCCTCGCAGAGCCAGAGCAACCCTTTGGCTCGGAAGTTGAACAAGATTCTGGAATCTAGACTTGACAATGACAAGGTGAGTGGCAATCCGAATGTTTTTAAATTCTGCATTTTATTAGTATTCAGGGACTTTAGTAGAAATTTGTACTCATAGGACAACTTTGATGAATGTAAAATTTTTGCCTGTACATCAATGTCATGTAACATTTAATACAGTGTTAATAACAATCAGCAGTGACAATGATGAGTACCTGAGGGCCTTCATGGGGGGTGATTTTCACCACCGATTACGAATTACATGTACATCAAATTCTCAGATCATTTTACCAACTATTTCAAATCATGGAGTACTCTGTACTTCATGGATTACAATGTATGTTTTGCTTCCATATAGGTACATTTTGCACATGTAAGTTGTAACTGCCTACAGTATGCTCACTATGCTGTACATACTGTAGTGTACATGAAAAATGAAAACGACCAATTAAGTGTTATGGCTATTGCATGCACGAATTACGTCGATTTTGGGTTACTGTCCTTAAGGATTACAAAGAGACCTAAAAGACAGTGAGTGTAAAACTTGATGATAAAAGGCCCAATTACACCTTATAAAAAAGGGCATGCAGGCCCTCCTGGTCAAGTTGCTTGATAAACTGATTATCGTTACAGGAGATGCTGGATGCTCTGGAGGCTTTGTCCCAGTTCTTCGGGGAGAACAGTCTTCGCAGCCGGCGGAACTTACGAGGCGACATCGAGCACAGGAGTCTGACTATCAACGAGGAGTTTGCAGTTGCCTTTAAAGAAGTGAAAGAGGTACTAGTAACATTACTCAAGTACATGTACCTTTGATATTGGAATTAGAAATTGAATTACATCTATATACAAAGCTGCCTTATTTAACATTTAAAGTAAGTGTTATTACTAACTTACTAAGTAATTTACTTTACAATTTTTTTTAGTGAGTTAATGAATCAACCCTCCATTGAAAGTAAGCGTCATTCAGGAAGTGGATGTGCCAAAAAATTACACCATACTTAAGCATGTTTAAAAGCTGGAATCACAGCTGTTAACACTGTTTGTACATTGTAAGAAGTTGTCTAGTTTTTGTAAGATTATTGGGTGACTTAATTAATATTATGAACTGAGTGCACCTCATGTGGATGACTTTTTTTACTAGCGCCAGCCATCATTAAAAAGTCAGAGATGATGCACACAAAATAGGTTAAAAAGTAAATGACAATCACTTGAAGATTCTTTTTCCAATTCTTGCTCCAATGTCGTGAATCTCTTTTCTTAACCCTATCTATTAGCAACTAGATGGGATCCATGAGGATGTAAGAGCAATGTCTGAATGCTGCCAGGATATGACTAGCAGACTCAAGGTCAGTATACGTATGTTATATGGCTACTAGTACCTTTTTGGGTTACAGCTAAGACATACCCATAGTAATTTCTCAGAAAGAATTTGAAGTTACAATTTTCAGACATACATGCAAAATACAAATCCAAAGTCTCAAAGTAGCATCATTGAAGATACACATGTACAAGTAGCAATAAACTCGTGAAAAATGGTGTTATTACACATGTACCAGTACTAGCAACATTTCTTCAAAGAAACTGTACAAGTCATGTAAAACTTGCCTAGTGCAGGTACTTTTGAATGTTGGTATCAGAAAAAAGTACATGAAGCCCTGCATACAATGTATGTAGTTGTATAGTAGTAGTGGTAGTAGTAGTACAGTAGGCATTATTCCTGCTTGAAAGATAATGGTACATGTAGCACTCAATCTGTGGTGAATGTGTGAACAGCATGTTGTGAAAATGTACTATATTGTACAATCTCTGAAATGCAATTACCGTTGTCTTTTTTTGTTACTTTAGGTTGCTAAGGAGCAAACTCACGACCTCATCAACCAAACCACAAAACTCCAGGCTGAAAGGTTCGTGATGTGAAATAATAATCATTATGATTAATACTTCGTCTTTGCTGTTTTTCCGTCAATTAGCAGAACTTTGTGGCGTGTGACAAAGTTTTTAAAACTAATCTGTCAATCATGAATTGACAAAAATTGACAAAAATCTTGCTAAAAACAAAATGCGGGAAATTGCATTTTTTAATGCTTGAAAGTCCAACATTTCCAGGGGATCCTAGATTCTGATCCTAGATTCTGATCATGAACATGGGTTAACAGAAAAAAAATTCAAGATAGATTCCTGGTCTGAAAAATTGTCAGCAGTCATTGTGATTACCATGCATGTGTTACTTAAGCTTGTATATGTACTTCCCAGAGGTTTGGAATTTCAGATTACTTGTCTTGACATTGCAGCCAGTTACTACAGATGAAGTCAGAAGTGGCGGACGCGTTCCTGTCCAAGTTTCAGCTGCAGCCAGCAGAGATGAAGGTTCTGCGCGGAGGTCACAACACAAACATGACAGAGGTACATGTACCAAATACAGGCACATGCAGGCTTTTTACTAACAGGGTTTGAAATACTTTTTTATCTCGACTTGCCTATATACTAGGCAACCTAAGCAAAAAGGTACTAGGTTGCCCATTAATATTTCAGGTTGCTGTCATTTTAGTAGGCAAGCCATAAGCTGGACCACCAGTAAAGGTTTCTGTCACAAATCACATGCGGGCTGTGGTAGGACACAGTTTATTTCAGAAGTCGTAACGTCCGAGAATTATAATAATTCTAGAGTTCTTGTAAATTCTTTTATTCTATTTTTTTTATCGTGAATTGTTTGCCATTTCTGTGTGTACTACATTTGTAGTGTTCCACGGTCACAATTTCTCCCAGCCTGCCAGGCAATTTTTCTCTGAACTCATACTATAAGTCTTGTATGTCGGTGAAGGTTATTTTTATTATAAATCAGACATCTAGGTTATTATAATAAGATATGCCAAATTTTTTTTCCAAAATCATATCCAGTTGCTTGAGTAACTGTTTTTTGGTGTCTTATACATGTATCTTTAAAGTTTAAAGATACCATTGCATTAGACCATACAGCACATCTTATGCTAAATTTCAGCTGTGGAACTTATAAAAATATATCTAAGTCTGCCTTGTATTTCAGGACTTTTTTTCTGCCCTGGAGCGAGCCAAGTCTATCCACAACGATGTGAAAGTCCTGCTGAGGACAAACCAGCAGACAGCAGGGTTAGAGATCATGGAGTCCATGGCCCTGCACCTGGAGACTGCATATGAGAGACTGTACAGGTGGACACAAGGTCAGGTTGTGTACCTGTGGCATAAGTAGTTACCTCCATGCAAAATGGAGGTATTGTTTTTGAGTAAAGAGACTATTTTTAAACAACCAAGTCTTTTATTCAGCCAATGTTTCGGTGACCGTCTGTCACCTTCCTCAGGGCAATTCATGCTGCATGGTTGTCTGCATGCGAAACCGAACTAGCTAGGCTTGACTCTATACAAAGGAGAGCCCTGAAAATCATGAAACTTTCTCCAACTGGTCTGTCCAAGGCGCGCATCCAACCTTTGGACCACCGCAGGAAAGTTGGTGCATTGACTCTCTTCCACCGTATGTACCACAGAGAGGCACCAACCCTGTTGAATGACCTTGTTCCTAAACACAAAGAGGTGCGGCGGGTGACACGCCAGTCAAAATCACATCATGAAAACACTCCGGCGGTCCCTGTCTCCCACACCAACAGTCATATGAGAACCTTTGTGCCAACAACTGTTAAACTTGGGAACAGTCTTCCAAGGGAGATCGCTAAGATCAGGGACAGACAAAGATTCAAACGTGAAGTTAATTCTTTCCTCAGCGCAAAACTCTGATAGCGTTCTGTCTAGGCAGTTCTGCTGCTAATGCTGAGTGAGAGCTGACATAGATAAAAAAAAAAAAAATTCTGACTGGTTCACATTGCACTGCAGCACAGGTGTCGCTGCTATAGATACATTCCCAAATGTACAATATTTACATTTCTACATATACATGTATGCATGGTTACAAAGAACTATAATGACCTTTGTCTTCTCCATACCAAATATCATGACAACCGCATTGTATACTGTACATTGTATAATATACAATGTATATACAATGTGGTTCCCAACATACAGGAGTTTGGTATACATAATTGTGGTCAGTTAGCAGCGACACCTGTCTTGGACAAATAAAAAAATAAGGAGTCTCTTTACTCAGTGACTTACCAACCTGATGAAAATATTCACAGTTTTTATGGATTGTCATGATATTTTGTATGGAGAAGACAACGGTCAGGGTCAAATCTGGGCCTCCTGGAGGCTGACTTTGGTACTGCAGCATAACAAGCATGATTTACTCAGACTAGTTTGTACTGTTCCCAGCGGAGTGCCGACTGCTGACAGGTGACTCCCTGGAGGTGTCCCCCCTGCTGTGTCAGGCCATGTCAGCTCTACAGGACAGACCTGTGCTCTTCAGGTAATCTTTAATACCTTTAATGTATACCAGGGCCATGATAATGCAGCACGGCCCAGACTTCCATGGCTTCCATAGAATGTTTCAAATGCCCTGAGCCACTTTTGAAAATTTGAATACAGGATTTAGACGATTGGAATAATTATAGATGTGTTGGTTTAGGGACACCAAATTTTTGCTCATGTCACATTGAAAGGCACATTTTCTTGGGTGGGTATGACATACATGTATTAAATAAAATACAACACAGTGTTCGGCTGTCTGGTGATCTGACCCATGGTTGGGCTGGAACCTTGGATGATATGGAGTACACAAGGTTCTAACAGTAACAGTTATCACACTGGCGTCCAAATGTTCCATATATAGAATATTTAAAAATTTTAAGTATACAGCTCACGAATTTTCGAATTCATAATTATGTTGGAATTGCTGTTATGTTACAATTTTGTTTAGGGACACCAAATTTTTACAGTTTTTGGCAAAGACACACCCAAAACAATACATTGAGGTAAGGCCACACCGACTTAATTTTATGGATGACATCTTCAGATCCTCTGAAGACCCCCAAACTAGTGCGCACAGGCGAATAAAAATCCGGCCAAAAATAAAAATGCTACTAAACCACAGGAATACAAAGGCAAAGCTGGTATTGTGAATTTGCGGCAGAACTGCGGGCAGAACATAGCGACATATACGACAAGCCGGCACATGCTGGCTTTTTGCAGATTTATGAATCGACACTGTATGTATGTGGTGAGTTCTTGAGTCGTGGAGCTTCGGTAGCCTGGGTGCCATCCTCCAGAGTTACCACCGGCTCCGTACTGTCGCTATATAGCAAGCTACCATGGACCAAGGACGTCCTTGCATGGACTATCCAGGCCAGAGCCTCGGATGACGTGATCTATTTTGGGGGGAGAACAGACGAAAATCAATGCGCGTGCGGATGTCATCCATAAAATTAAGTCAGTGTGGCCTAACAAACAAATATTAAGTCATCAGAACAACCTCTACATGTATGTGATATTGTTATGTGATACCAGTCTATGTCTGTCTCTATTCACAGATACTCTTTGGATGAGTACGGGACAGCCAGGAGGACTGCTGTAGTACGGGGGTTCATAGACGCTTTAACAAGAGGAGGCAAGTGGAATGATCGGAAAAAAATGTTTTGGACTTACTGTCTGATTTCTTTTCATAATAGATAGAAAATGTATTGAATATCTGAGCTTCACACAAGATTTTTGTCCCATGTACATTGCATAGTAAACCTGCAGCTGGTTGTGGTCTGTAGTGGTGTTTTGGCACAACCATAGTTTACACTACTTCACGTTACATGGTACAAACAAACAATGTTTGAGGTAACGCTTTGTTATGTGTTACAGGTGCAAGTGGTACACCACGCCCCATTGAGATGCATTCCCATGATCCTTTGAGGTAAACTTTGTTCAATGTAAAGTAAGCCTAAAAGACAAACAATTTTAATTTGTGACTACAGTACATTTTGTAGTTCCAATGTCACCATGTTCTCTGATCTCTGCCTTTTTGGCGATGTCTCAGGGAGGAGCCTATTGGTACAGTATTGTGTGCAGTTTGCAAGAATTCTAGGAATGGTACAGGAATTTTGTCCACAGGAGTGGAATGTCCAAATGAATGTCTCCCAGCTCTGTTTGTTGACATGCCCACATTCCTGGAAACCCTTGGGAAAACCTGTCTGCCCCGGATGCCCTACATGTACTTTCTGTGACCCCAGGGCTCGTTCACTATACACTCGGGAGGGGAGTGCTTCCTCAAAATCATGAAATCATAGCAGTGGCCATGGCAATGTATGTTTTGATTGCCAGTCTTGTTCTATGGTGTGGTGACAATGAGCAGGAGAACAGTAGCAGTAGGTATCAGTAAAACCATTCATTTTACTGTTACTTCCGGGTATTCAGTTATGGGTTTGTGTCTCCACTTCTCCTAATAGTTTGAGTTGCATGGTGGGTGGGTGATGATTTTGGCAGTTGATTGATGGAGGGTACACCTAAAGGTCCAGGGTGGGAGTAAGAGGGCAGTATGTGGAGGTAGTACTTTGTACTTAACGTATTCAAGTACGTGTAGTATTCAGGGATGGCTGTACCCTTCTTCAATTCTTATACATTTGTGACAGCCCAAAACACTTGCCCAAGGTCTGTATTCAGGGTCAAAAATACAATGTACTTCCCAAAGCTCAGAAATCTCTCCTTTTTTTTGTCCTATTTGCAAAAGATGAAACATCAGTTCATGTAAATTACTTATGTCTATATTTCTTTCTTTCTGGCATCTGCATGTAGAAATAACTTTTGTTTCTGCCGACTATTTCAGATATGTAGGAGACATGCTGGCGTGGTTACACCAGGCTACTGCATCAGAGAAGGAGTATCTACAGGCAGTGCTCAAGATGGTCCCAGAGGACTGTACGTAAATACATGCACTAGACTGTAACCATAGAGTCGGCAGAACGTACTGCACCCGCGCAAAACCCGTAGTGTATTGTGCACAGCACTTCAGCAGAACGTCTCATACAAGGTCGTATTCGTGTATATAAGGTTAACATCCCTTCTGTAGTTTCCAAATGTTGTGTCGGAAAAGATGTCATCTGCAACAGGCGCAGTACTTTCTGCCAATGTGCTTGTCCAGTGTGTAATAATACATGTACAAATAATTTGCTTGTCCAGTAACAGTTTTTTAGCCAGCTGAAATTTTTTTCTGTCATCTCAGTTTTGTCAGGTGTACCGGTAATATCATTTTGTAACAATCCTATTTGGGTCAGGGGGCATGCCCCCCCATAAAAATTTTGAAATCTTGACCCTCTAAAATGCTATTTTTCTGCATTTTGAGGGGCAAACTTGCTGGTAGACCTTTAGTAAGTTTAATGACATATCATTCTTTGCACGCCAATTTTGATAATGACTGATTGGAAAATAACACCGTCATGGATAAAGTACTGCTTTATCTGATTGATACCAGATTCTGCTTTCTTTTATAATACGTACTTTATAACTGTACATGAAGGTGTGGAGGAGCCGATGGCTGAAGTACTGGGCCACATCACAGAGGGAGTCTGCCGACCATTTAAGGTATGTGTCTGCGTCACGGGTGTGGGATGCTGAGTTACTTTCCTAACAGGTGTTCAAAGGAACAGTGCCATCTGTTGAGAAATCGACCAGTATCCCTGAATCCAAAATATATTTTCTGTTCATATTCAACTATATGTAGTATCATTCAATTTACATACAAAAAGTCATGTACATGTTTGTGAGTTGACATTACATGTGTATACTATTATTGAATAAAATTAATCTTGAAGTTTTATGTGACTAGTAACTCATTTAAGTGACTATCATGGACCAAATTACATTTTTTTTGTTAAGGCCACACCGACTTAATTTTATGGATGACATCCGTACGCGCATTGATTTTTGCCTGTTCTCAAAAAAAATGATGGCGTCCAGGCTGCCGAAGCTCCACGACTCAAGAAATCAGTACATACGTACAGTGCCGATTCATAGATTCCGCAAAAAGCCAGCATGTGCCAACTATGTATCGCTGCAAATTCACAATACCAGCTTTGTATTCCTGTGGTTTAGTGGCATTTTTATTTTTGGCCAGAATTTTTTTTATCCGCCCGCGTGCACTAGCTTGGGGGTCTTCAGAGGATGTCATCCTTAGATTTAAGTCGGTGTGGCCTAAAGGTAAAAAAAAAACTCTTCAATACCAGTCTCCATGCATGTTGGTGTGTTTCCCATGTGCAGGTTCGAGTAGAACATGTCCTAGTTGCTGAGCCTGGTCCAGTCATACTCTACAAACTGGCCAATTTACTCAACTTCTATCACCACACAATAGGGTATGGTACATGACACATCTCTCCATAGATCATTAATTATTATAGTACTGTCTTAAAATGGCATTATGTAACATTGGGACAGTACAAAAGTCAATTATCTGGTCATTTCTATATAACATAATTTGGATCAACCCTGTTTCTTTAAAAATACTGTTACTGTACCTTGCACATGTATGTGACATTCGGGAATTCAAAGTGGAGGTGCCAAATTACCAGTATGACGCAGTACAAGACAGTGTGTTTAGCCCGAGGGCTAATTGCAGGAACAGACGAAACATTTGGTATAAAAACAGACAATTATAATTAGTACACATAGAACTACTGATAACTACTAAGAAACTACTAGTAAAAACTACTGGATTTGACTTCTTTTTTGAAGACAGAGGAAGACAAAGGATCATACTTTTTCTGTAATTTGTGGGTTTTCGGATTTTTAGGCCCGATTTAGACTAGAAACGCTTAAGGGATTTTGGCCAGGGAAACGTTTCGGAACGGTTAACCGTTCCCGGTCTAAAGAGGAATGGGTTTTCGCGGACCGTTTCCGAAAACCACCTCCATCGTGGTTTTCGACCGTTTCAGAACCCTTCAGCGGGGGGCCCGAAACGCTTTGTGCTAGGTCTAAAGACAAAGGGTTTCTTGAAACGGTAAACCAGGTCACATGTCATATGCTAATCACATGCTAATAAGCCTGCGCACGTCGATTATCTGGTAGATTCGCGGCATATTTGATTGTGTCCATTTTCGCCATTTTATATCGTGTATTTCTCGAATTTTTGTTATCCTTTACGTCTGGAGGGATGGCAGAAGGCCAGGGGAGGGTCTGGACCCAAGATGAGACCCGCTTCTTGATCATCTTGTGGGCCAATCAAACTATACAATCCCGCTTGGAGACCTCGCGTAATAGGGAGGGCATGTAGATGCTTGTGGACGGGCTGGCGGCTGAGGGGTATTTATGCACCCCAAAGCAGGTTCGGGCGAAGTTCAAGGCCCTGAAACACAAGTATCGTAAGGCCAATGAGGCAAACCGTAGAAGTGGTTCGGGGAGGTCATCATAGGTCACTGTGGGTCAGAAACATCCTGCGCCACGGGCGGCCCGAAACACTTCCGCCCGTGTCTAAAGATGAACCGTTTTCTGTGGCGAAACGTTTCGTACCGTTTCGAAACGGTATACCGTTTCTAGTCTAAATCGGGCCTTAGAGGAGAGTAGTTTTCTTTTCGTTTGTATATGTATGAAAGTTTGGGTAGAATTTGGAGGTTACATCAAAGAGTTCATTTCGTTCATTGCTATAGAGGGTAAATTTGAGACAAAATGCGTTTCGTCTTCCACTGTATTCAACATACAATGTTTGCAAATTCGTTCATACACTTGGAATTATTAAAGCTGGACACACTGCTGTCTACAGATTACAATGTACCATGTTTGTTTATCTGGTATTCTTGCTTAAAGTTTGTGGTGGTGCTACAAAATTTGTGCCTCATGTAGCATACATGTATAGGCTGTTTTAGAGCCAGCCAAAAATGTCAGAAATGTGAGATAATTCCTCATTGCAAGTATGACTGTTGGAAATACACTGTAGAAGCAATGAAGTTTAACAAAAAAGTATGAACAGAAGATGAACACTTCTGATGCTCGAGTGTTACAGCATGGCAGACTCAACATGGAATCCAACTTGTAAAATCATCTATTTCTTCAGGTCTATCCTCCAGGGGTCCTCCAGTCTTCTGGCCACAACTGAAGACATGCACCAACTCAGCAAGAAACTCTTCATGAACAGTCTTAACTGCCATGCCAGCAAACTCATGGAAAAGGTAAATAATTGGTCAACTTTACTGTGATCTTCATACATGTAGGTATACTACTCAACTTACTAAAGATGTTATGGTAACTGTAACATTATGACCTTAAATGCATCCTTTGCAATTTCTTCAGGGTGGCAAAAAGTCAATCTTACTATGGGAATTCTTTTAATGTAGTGTGCATGTACATTTATGTATGTATGTTGAATCAACCCTTTTCTATATTATACTGATATCCATCGCAGAAGGAAAACAGTTACTTGTTTCATATCATATTGTAGCTGGTTCTTTCTCTTGATTGGTGGTACCAAAAAAATTGGACTGCTCACGTAACTTGTTTTGGGGCTATTTCGAACGCTTCAAGTATGAAATGATTGCATTGCATAGGACACCTTTAAAATGTCTATAAAACATTGCTGCATTTTAGTTACATTTTATAGTTTTGCTGACTTTAAACTAAGATTACATGTATTGTTGTTTGCTGTGTTTGGTTATGACCACAATGAATTATATGTATGACATTCGCATTACTTTTATATTTGTGATTTTCGCGTTCACTTCTGTACCACAAATTTACGAAGTACTTTCTTTTTGCTGCACCTGATACCACCAAAAACTTATAGTTCCATGAACTTTTGCACATTGTAATACACTTCAGTAGAGATGTACATTGTACACTGTACTACAAAATAGGTGGAGCTCCCCCCAGCAGATCTAGGCCCAACTGCAGCACTGAACCAGACCATGGCACTTCTGCGGGAGATTCTGTCATCCTATGACTCTTCTGTGGTCCCTCTTGATGCTCGGAGGACTGACTTCACAGAGGTTTGTTCTGATTTAACTATTCTTGTGGTATCAACTGAAGGTTTTCTTGCACACATGGACCATGAGATGTTTAGGCCTAGAAAAACTATATAATTGTGTTTATTATAACACAATTAGTCTGTTTCAGTCTTGAAAACATTAGGGTCAGTAGATAGGGATTATGTTTTTTTTTTCTTTTTTTTTTAGACTTCGGTGACATCTTATACTAAACAGTTTAAAAGTATAACTTGCTTGAGGACACTTATTTTCAATGTCAATGCTACAAAACCACTTGTACAACATTTTATCACTCAGGTGTCAGATCATGGAGCTGGAAAAGGTTGATCAGCTCGAAAAATTATGTCCCTTGCAGGGGTCCACCCCCCCCCGGAACCTCAATTTCCCATCCAAGCCAGCCTAGCGGGGACCAATAGGCGGGCAGCATTTCGGCCACACCCACAACCCGCGCTTTAGCAAGATATGGTTGAAAAAGATGTTTCTTAAACTTGTTCAAAAGAAAAATTTGTAAATTGTTTTCTGAAATCCTTTGTCTTTGAATAGTTGGAGCAAAATAACTACCGAACCGAGTTAAACCATTTCTTCACTGGGCTTCTGGTGCTTACGTCGGCCGCGCGGCGTGCAAAACAGTATCTTAGGCCAAGTCTTTGTCTGTGAAAATGTATGAAAAGAGGCCTTGCAGTCCTGTCCTGCCGATAACCTTGTTGTCCCGATTAAACTTTGTTACCCAGGCGGTATAATCTCGAAAATATGAGTGGCAGCATCTCGATACCCTTTTTAAAGACAAGGTTTGATTTGCCGATTCTGAGTTTCCAGTGCTGAAGCCGCCGACACACCAAGTGTTGACGTACCTTCGGCACTGGAGATCTAGGACGGAAGGATGCTGTTCAACCCCATTGTCAAATGGAATTGACCGCAAAGTGGGCGTGGCGCGGAATGCTGGTCACCCATTGGTCGCCGCTAGGTTAGGTGGATGCAAAATTGACGTAGGCCCCCCCCCCAAAAATAGTCTAGGGTCAGCAGGTTTTTATAGAGTCAGTCAGGAAACAGGAAACACATTTTTTTTCCTAGGCCTTAGGCCAAACCAATTTAATTTCTTGGTTAACGGATTTTTCTAAAAATAATGGAGCGGGCGGGCGAAAGTATCCTGAGTCCTCTCCTATTATGGCCCAAAATGGTAGGATAGGAGCCATGAAGTCAACACACCAGGCTGGTTCAAAATTTAAACAATGAATTTTGAACTTTTAATGATACCATTGCATTGAAAGATGGAATAACTCTAACAACTAGGATGAAAAGGACTGTTTTCAACTGTTCATGGCAAAATATGAGCATTTTACAGTTGATTCTGAATTTTTTATTTTTTTGCAAATCAGAAAAAAATGAAGCGAGCGAATCCGTTTACCAAGAAATTAAATTGGTATGGCCTTACTAAGTACCTCCCAAGATTTTGGTAGTCCCTCTATCACTTACATGTAGCCCAAATCCATCCTTTTCAAGCTCTCCTTTCACTTCTCTCTCTGCTTCTTGACAACAAAGAATTTTAGCTAAATGAACACTCAAATAAAATTACACAAAACAATGATTTATGTAAAATAAAAAAATGTCTTGTACAAACTCAAGTACACATGTGTACAATGAGGTGACACAAACTATGCAAAGAACATTGAACTTCCAAGAGGTACTTTAAGTTTCAACTTTGTGACGGCCTGTTTATTTCAGATGCCAAGCCGCCTGTAAAGAGATTGTTTACATGCTGGTGATGTGTAAGGGGCTCCTTTTACTTACTGGCCCCAAAAAAGCAAGATTAGTGCTCCACCTTCCAATAATTTGTGGACAGTCATGAATGAACCAACAGCTTCTAGAGCCTGAACAAAGGCTATGGGACTACTAGTACCTTTAGGCCTAGGAAAAAAAGTTGTGTTTCCCGACCGACCCTAGAAAAAACTGCCGACCTTAAACTTTTTTGGGGGGTGGAGGGACATACATTTTTCGAGCTGATCAACATTTTCTACATGTACAAAAATGTAGCTCCATTATCTTACACCTAACTGACCTGAGTGATAAAATGTTGTACAATTGGTTTTCTAACATTGACATTGAAAATAAAAGTGTCCTCATGCAAGTTCTACTTTGTTAAACTGTATAGGTTGGACCCCTATATAGACATCACTGAAGTCTTAAAAAAAAGGAAAAAAAAAAAAAATCCTGATTTCAGTACTGAAACAGGAAACAACATTTTTTCCCTACTTAGGCCACACCAATTTAATTTCTTGGTTAACGGATTTTTCTAGAAAAAAAATGGAGCGGGCGGGCGAAAAAAAAATAAAAATAAAAATTTGAGACCACCTGCCATACAGCCATGTAGTAAGCAATCCATTAAGTTAAGTTACAAAATGATATAAGACATTACATTATACACCGGTAGTATACATTTTATATTTCCCATTATACACTTTAGGTATGCTACAGCTACATTATACTAGTAGTACATAGCCATCATTCAAACAAATAGCCACATTGACACACTCTTCAAGTTGCCACAAATTCAATGGTCTAGGGTTTCACTATAAAGTCTTTGATGTATGGGGATTTTTATTTGTAGGGGGAACCATTTTATTAAAAAATTTAGATATAATAATTGATGCATTATTTGCAATTGTACTCCTGTTTATAGGTATCTAAATATGATGTAACTTTGTTAAAATGCCACATGCACATGTAGTATTTTTCACAAAGTAATTTCTATAATTAAAAGAACCTGTTTCCCCCTACTCGAAGTGGACTCTTCCGACCGTGAGAAAGTTAGTGAATGGACTTACGTGCATGGAGGACTTTTTACTTTGCCAAATTCCCATGTTTGTGGTAGGATTTTGTACTTTTTGAGAGTAATACAGTTTGTGATGCCAGAATACATTGTTATGTCGTGTTATTTTTACATATTCCCTGGAAAAAAGATCCTTTTGAAGGTGTGTGTGTGCATGTGCCGCCCAGGCCGAGTTTATACGTTCGGCCGATAATTTACTTTTAACGCCCGTTACTAGCACATGTTTCCGACACAATATGTGTTTCTAAATGAAATATAATATATATCTAAAAGGGAGATGATATGTTGTATGTTGTTACAGGCACGATGACTTAGTAAATCTGCCGTACGTTTGACTGTCGTCAGTGAAGTTTTGTCCCATGAATGGTGAAATGTGCAAAGGGGGTGGGGGGCGAGTTCTATATCAAAATAATTTTTTTTGACGAACTTTTGAAGAGGCAACCTAGCTTTCTGAACAAATTGCACAAAGAAAAATGTTTCTGCATTGAAGCAATGTATTTTTAACGCTGTTAACTATGCCCAAATTTTGAAAAATTACAACGTACGGGGTGGATTTTGGGGCCCCAATTCGGGACCCGAGAGTATGGATTTTTGTTCTGTTTTTATTTTTATTTCATTTTGGCAAAAAAACGAAGCGGCGAATCCGTTAACCAAGGAAATAAATTGGTGTGGCCTTACCTCAGTATAATAAGAGTATTTTTGTACCCCGTGTATTTCCTCAGGTCCTTTCCTGTGTAGTGGACCCCCTGTTACAGATGTGTGCCATGTCAGCCAGCCAACTCAACCCAGCAGACATGGCCACGTACATGGTCAACTGTCTCTACATGATGAAGACCACACTCTCCCTCTTCGAGTTCACAGACCAGCGGCTAGAAATGCTGTCTGCTCAGGTGGGTACTTTCATTTATATTGTCAGTATGTATATTTTAAAGGCATGTGGCATGTTTTAAATGCTTGAAGGCCATATACAGGGCCGTCAAATGTCACTAACCAAAATAAAAATGCTCCTCAAACCAAGCCCAAGTGGGTTGAACATCTGCCCTCAGGATTCAGGAAATATGATGCATATGGCAGAATAGCAGAGTCTTTAACCACACAGCTTACTAAAATAACCTTCAGAATTTGCGCAGTACATCTACATGTACAATATAGGTGGCAAGGGTGGTCTGGTTAGGGCCATTGACTCAGGTTCTGGGTTCAAAGCCCAGGCAGGCCCCATTATTGTGTCCTGGAGGTCAGGCACCTATTTTCTCACTTAACTCAGATGATTTGAAATGAGTACCTAGCTTCAGTTACTAGAGGGATGTCCTCTCAGATGGGACATAAAGCCGGTCCCGTGTGTAAGGAAAGCCACACCTCAAGAATGTTAAAGATCCCACTGCACGAAAAGAGTAGGGGTCCTTCCTGATGTGAGTGGTTCAAACCTTACAAACTGGTCTCAGGTTTGACATCTTGAAGGGGTGATAGAGTAACATATCAATCCTTTCACGTGGGTGCCAGGCCCTGGCATTTCATATTAAGCGATAGATTTGGGGGGAGGGTTGGGAAGAACCCTTGTCCGCTGCCAGAAGTTGTTGCTGCCCAAACAGTTTATCTACATGTATCATGCCAGAGCCTGGTGGGTGTGGATGGCACATCCGCTTGAATGCTCTCAACATCTAAGTAATAACCAGCGGGGAGGAGATAATTATAGCCAGGGTGCAAACTCCGTTAGCGTTGCGTATGGCTTCACTGATCAAAGGGATGTTCACTCACTCATGGCAGGGGTCTTGCAACCAGGCTACAAATGTTTTAAATCTTCATAGAGTACCTCCTTCTAATGTACAATTGAATTTTCCTGTAGGATAAAGTTGTGTGTTTTATTATATCTGTCTGACAGGTTGACGCCCACTTAGACACCCTGGTGAATGAGCAGGCTTCCTTCACCCTGAGCCATGTGGGACTGGCACACATGTACAGTGTTGTACAGCAACACCAACCTCGGGAGGTACGGCAGCACAGCAACATGCATCAGAACATATCACACTCATCGATTTTAAATGTCAACTAACAGACAGTATTCATGGGTGAACCCAATAGCAATAGTACATGACGAATTGTGTAACAGTGGGGGGTCTAGACCTTTTCGGCCGAGCGGTTAAAGTGTCTGACTGGGGCCCGGGAGGATGTGGGTTCGAACCCCGGCCCGGGACCAGTGGGGTTTTTACTGCTTGCCTTTGTTTCTTACAGTGGTTCCCATGCCGGCCCTGGGAGTTCTGGCAAAGTGTGCCGCTCCAGGGATGTCGAATTCGGAAGATTCGAGGACGAATCTTGAAAAGAAAAGGAGGAGGAGTGTAACAGTGGGGGGTCTAGACCTTTTAGCGGAGAGGTTAGAGTGTCTGACTGGGGCCCGGGAGGATGTGGGTTCGAACCCCGGCCCGGGACCAGTGGGGTTTTTACTGGCTCCTTCTGTTTCTTACACATGTAGTTCAGGCACAACATAGTGCGGCACAGTACTTGAGAAAGGTGCCGAGATTCATTCGTGCAGGACAGCGAGGTGAAAACTGTGCTGAATTGTATTAATTTGTAGAAAAAATGTATCAGGTTTGAGACTGTATGATTTGAATTATGCCACACTGATTTGATTTTTGCCTGTTCTCAAAAGAAATCACCTCCGAAAGTCTGGGTTCCATCCTTCGTAGTACATGGTACCTAGCGACAATAGGGAGTCGGCGGTATACCTACGGAGGACGGCACCCAGGCTATATACTGAAGCTCCACGGAACTCCAAAATTCATATTAAATACTGCAAAAAAGTCGGCATGTGCTGGCTTGTTGTCATAAATATGTAACAATTATTACTACCGCAAAATCTGTAATACAGCTTTGCATTCCTGTGGTTCAGCAGCATTTTTGGGTCTGGATTTTATTTATTCCCCCTCTCACATTAGTTTTGGGGTCTTCAAAGGATGTCATCACAGGATGTCATCCATAGAATTAAGTCAGTGTGGCATAACGTAGGGTGCATCATAAGTTCAGTGGTTAGGGGCTGTGCCTCTGGACTTGATGTTAATAGGTTTGTACCCTGATTGTTTGGGTGTATACGGCCAACTTGACAGACCCAAAGTTACAAATGTACATTGACTGTCATTTACTTCATTTTTTATTTTGGAAAATGTGTCAGTGGTACAATGTAGCTGTAACCAGCCTTGTTGCTGCCTGGCTACCATGTGTCATGCTTTGTCACATTTTCAATGATGTTAAGTAAACACAGTTTTTCCTGATTTGTGTGAATACAGGGTCCCTTGTCAGCTGTCCATGGACTGGATAGGAACTCCATCAAAACTGCAATGGTCAGTATATGAACAAATATTTCATAATGAATTAAGAAAAGTTAAGACTTGTGGATCTGCAAGAGTCAGATTAGCCCAGAATTGTTAAAGAAAACTTTAAACCAAGACCTTAAGGCTAGGGTTGGTTATTGGCCTCCTAGTGGATAAGCATGGTACTACAGCACAACTTCCATTTTTCATGTTTTAGACATGCTGTGATCGTGTGTTTTTTGACAGAGCTGAGCATTTTTGTCTTAGGAAAAGGTGAACAGGCATGAATAATGACCATGTTGTGATCTAGGTTATGGGGATTTTCTCACCAGAACTACAAGTATTGCTTCTCTCTCCATCTCCTTGCTAATGTGTTTCGATGCCTGTCAGACACCTTCATCAGAGCTTCTGACTGGAGTGCTGCATATATGTGTGTGGCGTCAAGTGGCGCAGTGGCACAGCGTTTGACTATGACACTGGGAGACCCGGGTTCGATCCCGAGTTGTACCCGGGACATGTCTGAACATTGGCCGTGACGTTGTGCCCTTAGGAAAGGCACTTGACACGACTTTCCTCACTCCATCCAGGTGTGAATGGGTACCTAACTTCAGTTGGAGAAAGTTGTATTGAGGTCACCTTGTGGCACCGAATGGCAGCCGCACAGACCCTTGCAACAGTTCCACAAAAAAACACAAATATGTGTATCATGTGTATCATTTTGATTGCTTGTCATTATTGATTGATTGTTAAGTGATTGTAAACCAATTGTAAACCCTGCATCAATTCAGCCGTATAAAGGGTGCAACTGCACGGGTACTGTTTGACCAATAGATGGTGCTTTTGTGTTCTCGTCACAAAAGCACCATCTACACATACAATTGTATAGCAGCACTCCAGTCAGAAGCTCTGAGAAAGGTTTCTAATAGACAGCAAAATGTAAGCAAGGTAGGAAGAATCCCAATAGCAAAATCCTATGTTCTACCAACCTGATAGAATTATTTTGTCTGTTCACAGAAACAGTTTGATGCCTTCCTGGCCTCACCAGATGATCTGGTCCTGCCACAGTGCAAGTTCTTGTTAAGTGCCACACTAAGGTGAGAGATGCAAACTTTAAGGTACAAAATGTACCATTCTTTCACATGGCCACCTAGCTCCATGACGTGTGTGTGGTGTCCCTACTAGTAGTAATCTGTTAGTGGAGACCAATCACTATACTATAGCTACTATGTTACATCCTCCATAGATGCAGAAATGTTGCTGTATTTTGTGTTTTTAGAATTGCCACATATTTTCTGCAAGAACATTGTAACATTCGTGTGGCCATAATTTGAAAAAATGAAAGCATTTACTAACTGAAAAATGCATTTAATTTCATGGTTTTATTTTCCAGTTTAATAGGGATTAAGGTTTTTATCGAGTTCTAAATTTTCAGTTGAAACAATCTAATAGTTATTCAAAGAAGGCATATTCACAGTGTCATGGATTTGTGGAAGTCAAAGGTTACCACGAAAATAGTATTTTTTTCCACACTTGAATGTTAGAATTGTTTCATTTTGCTGCATTCATATGGGCAAAAACTATTCTTGTAACAGCCTACCAACACACCAATCCACACAGTTGTTCTTCAATTATGTTGATGTGACACACACACACACACATATACATAATCTCCAAGCAGATCCCTTTCGGTGGCAAAAATACAGTATCAAATTGGCCAGGCAGTATCCATTAGCCAGAGAAGGGCGCCGGCCACCGTTGGTACATGGTGGGGGTAGCAACAAAAAAAAAATGGCCATACATAAAAAGCTAACAATCATTCCCCCACAACCTCTGCTTGGAGAGTACACACACATACACCAGACACATACACACAGACATGCACACACATGCACACACATCCACACACACACAAACACTGCCTAACATGTAATGACTTCTTGACCAAGTAAATCACTTCTGGTTGGTTCTTTGCAGGGACGTTGTGGATAAGAGAAGTATGGATGTGATACGGCAGGTGTATGAACAACTGTACACAGCAGTGACAGATCCAGCCAACAAGTATGAGGATCCAAATGAGCTGGTGCAGAGGACACCACAGCAAATAAAGCAGCTTTTGTCCTAGTCTTGAACCCTGTTAGTAATATGCCATGTTTCAAGTTACATGTACCATAATGTTTTGAGCTACAAAAGTTGGTTCACATCTGCTATTAATACTGCCTATTGGTAGATACATGTATCTGGCAAATACTAGTAGTCAACGTAGGTTATGGGATTACAAAATTATTTATTGTTGCACAAGGTTTAGCAAGTGAATAAGGATCACTTATACTATTGTAGATTGTGGGAACTTTTTTTTTTCGTGGCAGACGTCAATTTATGGTGGTTTGAGAAATGCTGTCTCCATTTCTATGTTGTACTCAATGACATGTACATTGCACAATACCAGTAATGATTCTGAATTTAATGTGCATATTAGAATGATGAGGTACATGTACATAGCATTTACAATACTGTCGTTGTTTAAAAAATATGATTCAATCAATGAATGTACCCTGAACATTTTGGTGGGTTTATTTTAAACGATGGCACATGGACCCATATCTCAATGGAGAACTTGCTGTTACAGTGATGCATTTCACAATTTGGTACATGCAATAATAAACCATTAAATTTGGCTATCCTTTTTTCTCTGGTCACCCTGTGTACATGTAGGTGGTGGTTAGGTCCCGTTCCACTCCATACAGAGTATAGGGGTCGTGTCCATCTGTTTCTATAGCCCTTGGGCCACATAGTTGTGCAAGCACTACAGCAGGGGGCAAGTACTCTCCAAGCAGAGGTTTGGGTTTTGGAGCATTTTTGGCGCATTCTTATCGGGGTTTCTCTTTTGAACTGGAATTTAAAGTAGGTCCCATTTTTAAAGTCTTTGGGGATAGAAGTGGTGTTCAGATGTAAGTCAGCTGTGGTCAGGCATGGTTGGTAGTTATATCATTATAGCAAATTCAATTTGATTCATATAGAAAGGTAGGCATGGCCTAAATCTGGTTAGACTGCACCCAAACGTCAGCAAACCTTGGTTGGTGTGACGGTCTTTAGATTCAGACTCACAAATACATGTACATGTCAATGTATACTCAAACTCAAAGCCAGTGAGACAACAGACAATAGCTTACATGTGACATTTTATTGACACATTGAACTTCATATGTTGAGGAAGGCAGCTGAAGGCCCTTTATTGAAATGTTCTCTTGGAACTAGCCGACAAGAATGGTGGGACATTTTTCCAGCCTGTTGGTCAACTTGTCACATAGAGAAGGGCGGCCACTCATTCCTGAAACAGGAAAAATGCACTTGTAACATGAATACGATTAGTATTTTACATGTTTGTATGTACACAAATCAGCACGCAATTCCGAAGCTCCGTCAAAAATAGCCAAATATGGTCTTCCGAACAATCGCCAAACTGCCCCCAACCATGGTTAGGAGACAGTTGGGAGCTAGTTGGCTCATGCTCAGCGAAGTCAGCTACATTCTGTACTGTTGGGCTGTAACAGCCGAAAGATCCAAAATGTTTAAAACATTTGGGTGTGGATGGAGATTCGGTCATTGTTGGCTGATGTTCGGGAATAGGTTGCGGCATGGTTGGCAGTGAAATCTGACTCAAATTCGATCTGATTCGTATGTAAAGGTGGCCTTAATCTGGTCGGACTGCTCTAGAATCTAAGCCTACCTTACCGTAGTTGGCTGTGTTCGGGGGAAGGTTCTGAATGTGTGACAGGGACTTGACACAAGATGAAGTCAAAATGTTGGCAGAACATACTGCACAAAACCCGTAATGTATTGTGCATAGCACTTCCACAGAACGTCTCTTATAAAGCTGTATTTCATGTGTATTTAGGTTAACATCCCGTCAGTATTTTCCAAATATTATGTCGGAAAAGATATCGAAAAGATAGGCAAAATTCTGATGCAACTGTGACCAAACATCCAACGAAAACCGTTTAAGATCATCAGGGTTTTGCACAGGTGCAGTAAGTTTTGCCGACGTACACGTACTGAAACAAATTGGTTCCTTACCTCTGGAACCTCGTACTCTCCCTCGTTGATCTTGTCGATGACATCGTGAGGAGGCAGCCCATCCACCGTACAGCCCACAGACTGCGCCGTGCCCAGGATCTCCTTCACCGTCCCCTCCAGCTTACGGGCGATGGAGCGCGGCCGCATCTGACGGGCGATGTCCACGATGTCGTCAAAACTCACGTTACCGTTATGTCGAGGACGTGGGGGGGGGGGGGGGTAAAAATGGCACGTCAATCAGAGACGGCAGACTTCGCCCATGAAACACTATCCAGTCCTAAGACACTGAATGGTACAAGTCCAGACCTGAACATCTGCAGTAGAACAGTACTGTAGTAGACACCAACTTTTACACTAGAAATAGGGAAATTGAATGTCAAAGGTGACAATTTCAACACTTGGATATCAGGAAAACTTTTCTTGTTTTTAGATAAAACAAGATGTAAACCATCGAATTTACCACTACAAAGACAGTTGGCTACATGTACAACTCACAGATGGTTGGCAAAATTTGTTTACAACTTTACGTACATTACACTGACTCAGTGTAATGTACGTAAAGTTGTAAACAAATTTTGCCAACCATCTACAGGTCTGGACCTATACCTTAACCCATATAGCTGTACCTGTAACTTACATGTGCATGTATAAGCTGTTCAGGCCTTGTGTTTCGTATTTCCCAACCAACCTTAAAAAAAACTGCCGGCCCTAGCCTTTTTCTGTACATCTCCACGAGGGACATAATTTTTTCAAGTTGATCAACCTTTTCCTGCTCCATGATCTGACAGTATGTGATGAAACATTGTACAATCAGTTTTCCAATATTGACATTCATTGAGAATCAAGGTGCCCTCAAGCAAGTTTTACTTTGTGGAACTGTACTGTATACTTGAAGTTGAATCAATGTAGCTCACCAAAGTCTAAAAAAAAAGAAAAAAAAAAAAATCCGTACCTACAGTACCGTTCGCGTTATAGTTACCCTAACGGCCGTTACTAACGCGTTTTTTTTCCGTTACTTTTCCGTTACTTTCCCGTAAGTTTTCCGTAACTTTTGCGTAAGTTTTCCGTTACTTTTCCGTTACTTTTCCGTTAGACTTCTGCATTCATATGCAGGCCGCGGTAACATCACAGAATAATGGGAGGAGTACTAATTTACCTCATGCGGGGCGGGAAATTACCGATACACACCGCTGGAACAGCGGAAGGAACGTTGATCTAGCCTGCATTTTACTATATTGTAACGTTTAAAACGTTTTACGATCACCGGCGCAATTCAATTAGATAGACATTTTCTTTTGTCACTGTTGCCCAGGCAAGCGTTTCTATAGTTTGTCAACTTTGTTTTGCTGTTTTTCTCTGTTAACAGTTAGTAGAAATTCTTCAATCAGTGACTGTATTTAAAGGTAAAAACACGTACCTCCAAATTTTCGGTGTCGAATAATGTTAACTTATTTTACCACCGAATAAGCAAACCTAGATGATCTGAAGTTATAAATGCCCCGGTCCGCCGTACATAATAGGCGGCGGGCGTGAGGTAACGTTAGGGATGTGCAAAAACATCGTGGAAAAATCCTATAACACTCGAAAAAAGGCAGCATATTTACACGTGCCCACCAACATTTTTATGGCTAATTATTGACCAGTTTTGGGGAGTTTTGTTATGTCCTTGGAGTTTTGTTTAGAGTGGGACGGAAAGCCGTGCCGCCACTCCGACTCCATGCACTTCCGTGTTACATTACGTTGTATGTGACCAACAAAATTACGCCAAAGGCACCACAAATCCACATGTACATATATTTTTTTTCCTGAAAATTCTTTTGAGTACGCATTTCGTCACTAGGATGTTGCTAATTAGTCGTAGAAATAAGGTAGAAACCAGCGTAAATGTGGCTCTCTCGAGATCATTTCGCGCGGGGAAGGGCGCCCAGCATGCAACGGGCTTCGTTCTAGCCAATCACAGCGCAGGTCATCTAAGGTGAACCAATCAGAGCGTAGCTACTTGCATATTATAATGAGCATGCTACACACAGGGCGGCAGCGGCCAGGGCGACCGGCCCTGAGTGCGCGGGAAATGTGTTTTGCAACTATATTTTTACGGGGATTTTCTGACGTTTGACGCTGACTTTGGCACGATATGATCGCACTACCATGTACACGCTACCGTAGGCGGCAAATGAGTGGTCATTTTTATATAATCGTCGAGAAATTTTGGCGTTATGCACCCGGAAGTGAGCCGATCTCAGTTTGCGTTCCCTCGATTTTTGACAGTTTCCCCCCTCAAAATAAGAAACAAAACTACCGCTATTAAATAGAACCATGTATTACAATTATCATTTCAACATGATAGATCTATTATATATTCCTTTATTAACTATGATATCATCATGGTTGTGGAAAGTCCTCTGCTGGCGAACCGAGTCCTTGCGCCGGGAGTGACGGTACATTTTACCGTGAGTATTAAAGCCGCTAGTACTAGTAAGCCGCGCGCCTTACAAAAATTATAATAATTTTTCTTTTGTGTCAAAAACCGCCGTGAATTTAAGGCATGAGTTACCGATTTATATTTCTTCTACGGCAGATATTTCTTGTTTCGTCACGTCCCATGACGTCCTGTGAGAGCGGTAGGCCGCCGCTGGTACAAAATGTACAAGACATCGTCTGCCCACTGCTACACTTTGTTGACATACATTGTATTACACAACGTAATTTTCCGCTAGAAATAACTATAGAATAGCATTAAAAGATAGCACAATTCGCTTCACACAGTCGACACATGGATAAACCACAAAGTTATTTTACGAATCACATGTCCACTTGCCTCTGGTGCTGTTATTTTTCAAGGGGCAACATCGCAACACATTAGCGGACGCCCAGGAGTGGCAAATTGCTATTGCTTGTCGGCGCGCAAAACAAACATGAAATCCGACCCTATCACATTAACGCAAACGGTAACGCGTTAGAAATAATTTCTGACGATTTTCTAACCATTTTCTGACGAAAATCTAACCAAATACGGACGATTTTCTAACCATTTTCTGACGAAAAAATAACTCGTTAGTAACGGGGTACCCGGTTAACTATAACGCGAACGGTACTGTACTGACCCTAATTTTTTTGAGGACTAAAACAGGAAACAGAATTTATCCTAGACCTTAGCACACATCAATTTAATTTGTTGGTTCTCGGATTTTTTTTTCTGATTTGCAACAAAAAAAGATGTCATATCAAATGCTCGTATTTTGCCCCCAACAGTTGAGGAAAGTCCTTTACTTCTTAGTTGTTACAGTTTTTCCATCTATCAATGCAGTGGTTTGATTAAAAGTTCAGAATTCATTGTTGAAATATTAACCCAGCATTTTGTGTCATCATAGCTTCTATCATAGCATTTGGGGCTATAAAAGGATGCCTACACCTGTTTTTATATTTATTTTTTGCCCTGTCGCTTCTTGATCATATTCTTTCTGAAAAAATTAGAGAACCAACAAATTGAATTGGTGTGGCCTTAGGTATACAGAGGTCTTATATAGCTTGGCCAACAGTTGAAGTTTGGTTATGTTCAGCTGACAATCTAGTTATCAGAATCAGTATGGGCCTACTTTTTAATTGTTCTTCTGCTCGTAAGTTTTAACTGTTGTGTGGTTGTAGTATGTGTAATTATTGTGGTCTATGCAGTTTTCTAATGATTCTGTATTTTAACTTCCTAATGACTGTATTTTAACCTCCTAATGACTCTGAATTTTAACTTCATTATGTGCAATACTATAAACTTTTGGATTTTAAAATAATGAAATGTACATTGATTCGCAATTAAGTTTACTGCCATTGATCAATAAATAATTCTTGAGTCTTGAGTCAAAGGTACTCACTGTTCTTCTGCTTCTTCCTGTCCCTTGGTGGTTCCTTAAGAGCCTTGATGATGAGTGAGGAGGCTGATGGAACAACAGACACTTTAGCCTGTCTGTTCTGGATGGTCAGCTGGACTGTGATCCTCAGACCCTTCCAGTCCTGGGTAGCCTTCGCTATGTCATCTCCAACCTTCTTGGGAGACTGAAGGGAAAACAACAAAACAATTATACTTTTCTTATTTCTGTCAACGATCTACATGTACAATTTCTGCAAACTCTTTGAACCAAGGGTCAAACAAATGGAACAAACTGGACGTCGAGACCAGGGCGCTGGGAGCTAACGCGTCGAGTCCAACTGACGTGGCGGCTTTCAAGAGAAAGTGTCGGCTGTCCATGCGCAACAGGTTCAACCAACATTTCAGTGTGGACATTCCGTGCTCCTGGGTGCTGTCATGTGGCTGCACCTCCTGTCGCGCTACGAGGCCCCGGTAAGCCCAGTTATTACTGCTTTTACCATCTTGTAAATTTGTATATATAGTATCACTGTTGTTTTTTTTTTATGCACATTGTCTATTTATTTGTGGGCATGGTGGCCTTGAAAAGGTACACTTAGGTGCACCTGTTCCACCATGCCCTCCATGTATATTATGTATGTGGTTGATCGTAATAAATAAAATAAATAAACTTCCGTCACCCAGAAACTGAACACTAGTGAAAAAAACTTTTGTTGTACTATTATTTCATTAAGTATTTGCTTGAGTTAATTTTGAAGTTTACCGATCAGGGTTCGAAATATTGGGTGCATGTGCATCTTAGTGTACCCAAAATTGGAGCTGTGCACCCAATTTTTTTCTGTAGGTGCACCAGTGCATCCAAATATTTTTGTAGGACAAGGTATTTTTGCAATATCAATGTATAATAGTATGCAGTATATTCTTGGCATACAGAAAATAAATAAAATCTTTGCTGTAACTGACAAAAAGTTAGCCCCATTTCATTTCAGATTCAAGCTCAGAAGAGGAGCAGTAAGATCTGTGATTAAGTTTTGTTTTATATGGTGCACCCAAAAAATTTTAGTGCACCTAATATTTTAGGTTGGGTGCTCCAGTGCACCCATTACCAAAAATGAATTTCGAGCCCTGCCGATAGAATTTGGGTTATTGCAAAATTCCAAGCTGCGTTGGTGCTGTGCATGCCACTATCAAGTGCCTCGCATGGACTTCTGAATTTTGCCAGCAACACTGGACTTTTCTTGTCTCATCTTGCTTTGCTTCATTCTACTTTTCATGTGAATGTCTTTCTTTACACCTAAATTTTTAGGTTTGGTGCACCACTACTGCACAGGTTCCAATTCTCAAACCCGACATGAATACAGTACTAGTACTCCTACTTGCCAAATTATTTCTATCACTTTTTTGAAGCCATGAAAAAAGACTCACCAGTCCCAGTGGTCCAATCTTGGGAGCGAGGGAAGCCGTGGCGCCCACCTCTCCTCCTGTAGCCCTCAGGTACACTAACAGGGAAAAAAGGGAAAACATTTCTGCTCAGACAGGTAAGTTTTAGTTATACTCAACTGAGTTTATTTCTAAAAAAATCTGGAACAGGATTGGCTACTATTCGAACGACAATTGTTAGTTCACAGAATTAAGATGAACTTACGACAGTCTGTTGCACTAAATTTTAGAGGACAGTAAGTATGGGAACACACGTCCACTTGAGGTAACTTGCAAGTTGACTTTACTAAACGCTGGAACAGGATCGGCTGGAACGATGGACAGCCCGTGCCGACTGTCAAGTTTGATATCAAAATCCTACGAAGGTTGTATGTAAGTTATATGTAACTCCATGCTCCAAAAGTTTTTTTTGAAGAAAATTTATGCCAACCTCACTTCAGTTCATATGTTATTATATGGAATGTTATCAATTTAGTCATGTTAACATTGTCAAGTATAACGTAACAGTGACACGTGTATAACACAAGTTGATAACGTTATCGGCAAAACTTGAACGCTTGTGCTGGGTGGGGAGGGGGGCATCGTACTAGTACAGTAATGCCATGTCTTATGATAAGTTAATCTAATAAAACATGTCAATCTCAGGATGTTACCACTGTCTTCAGTTCTTAAGAATACCAGTACACAACAAAAAGTACATATCAGCAAAATGTACGTCAACGTTTACAAATAAATTTGAGACGATGAGAGAACAGGCTGCAAACTGCATGCGCAAATATATGGGGTAACAGCTTTCAGTGGAATCGTAAAAAACATCGCGAAATCAAGTCTCTGATCGCTTACCGATGTGAATCGCGGTAGGATCGAACTTGGGAGGCATGTTTCTTCAGTTTGGTTCCAAAAAATGTCGAAAGTAAGGTCTATGAAGGTGTGGATGGGTCTGGATTCAGACCCGACCAAAAAAGTTGCACCTTCACGACAGCACGGGAAAGGGGGAAAAGATCGATTACCCATAATGCATTGGAATGTTGGGCCACGGCATCTCAGTTTCCGGTGATTTCCAAGCAGATGTTTGGTGAGCGAAAACTGTAACGTTTTGACTGGTTGATGGTCATGCAATTCCGGGTCGGGGTTTAGCGACTTTGGCTCTTTATACAGTTTAATGTCTCTGGTTTCATGTTTTGCGTATCATAATTTTCCTTAGCCTATGGGCGCCACCATAATCATTAACGATAATGATTAACGATAGTATCAGGCTTACAAAAAAGACAGGTAACGGGGGGTGCCCTAATTCCGACCTACTAATGGGGTTAAGAAATATTTCTCCAGCGAATGTATGTTTGTTTGGGTTGAAAATTCATTGTGGGCGAAGGGAAACAAGAGGAGAAAAACAACAAGGCTGGAGAAAAACCATGCCTAGAATCGTATGCTGATCTATATGATAAAATCAGCAATAGTGTAACCATGGGGGGGGGGGGGTATAGGCGCTACCAACTGACCCAGCTTACGGGTCTAGACCTTTTCGGCCGAGTGGTTAGAGCGTCTGCGCGTGGCCCAGGAGCCGTGGGTTCGAACCCGGCCCGGGACCAGGGGTTTTTATCTGTTTCCTCCTGTTAGAGGAGACAAATATCACTTTCTGGCCCGTCTACGGTCGCCGTGTTATCTTCGGAAGTGTGATTGCGAAGTTCAAAAAGGCGACGACCGTTTCGAGAAAAGGCGACGACAGAATCAAACGCAGTGCCTCAGTGCTTTCCTGCACAAAACGTTTCAGGGCCTTTCAGGAGTACATGGGCGCCTGGTCTCAGTATCAGTGACCTGTTCACGGATGGAAGCAGCAAAGAGGGGATGAAATGTCTTCGTGGATTGTTTGGTTTGACAAATGCTAGCGCATATATGATATTGACTTGGTAATAAACTGATTTAAAATAGTTGCCGTAAATACAGGGAGCTCGAGGTTCAGGGCTGGTTGGTTTTGATCCTTGGTGAGAATGCAGACCCACTGTTTGACATTTTTTTGCAGAGGAGCTAAGCAAAGCTGAAATTGACGAGGACAGGGATGTCGTTTGTGTTCATCATATGGATTGGGAAATCCTGTGCAGGTGATAAAATGACAGAGGTTTTTAGCACCTTGCCTGTCTCAACACTCAACTAGCAACCTGGGTGACTTCAGTGATCACTATGATTTTTATATCAATTAGATTGTAGGTTTGACTCACGTACTGACCTGTCAAAAGAAACAAACTGCAAGCAACGCTCTAAGGTTGACAAAGCATCTGACAGTCGACTGCTGTTGTATAATTGCAGGGCCCCTTTGGTTACATCAGGAGAAACATGACGTGTTGGAAGAAACTCAGATTATTACTCATTGCGTTCTGTTCAAATACTTGAAGTTGGTGGTGATCTTAAGGCTTCTATAGTACTTTCTCCCCACTGCGCGCATTTATACATCGGTGTGGAGCAGGAAGTGTGTCACCATTCATATCAACCATCACGGTTCGTTATATCTGTCCAAGGAGCTTCTACACAGAAGCTTCTTGATCTTTCACTGGAACAGCTTTCAGTGGTACCAAGGGTCACGAACATATCACAATTACCTGCGGTGTCACGGAGGAAACCTTTGAGGACAGGCTAAAGCAGACTTCTCAGAATATGACGAGAATATGTTGGCCCAAAGCCTGAGGCTATTGACAGGATCGTCCTGTCAACAGCAAGAAATACTGCACTGCTGACAGGATCTTCCTGTCAATAGCAGAAAATACTGCACTGCTGACAGGACGATCCTGTCAATAGCCACAGGCTGGCCCAAATGATTAGGAGGCAGAATTGCCTTTGGTCGTTAAGACTAGAGATAGGCAAGTGGCATCGTATTGATCCTGAAGTTAGGGGGTTCGGTAACCTAACAGCGACCGGACCCTACAGAGCATCTCCCAACATGCAACACTTGAGGAGGTACGTTGAGTTCGAGCTTTGACAACTTTAATTCATTCATCAAAAACAACATTGCAGGCTGAAACAGCTTGAATTGTGTTGTAATTTACATGTACATTCACAATTAAAATTGTAACATTTTAGCGTTAAAGATTTAGTGTTAAAAGAAGTATTTCCGATAAGGCCACACCAAGTAAATTTTATGGATGACGTCCGCGCGCGCATTGATTTTGGCCTGTTCCTAGAAAAAAAAAAACAAGAAATTCCGCTTCCTGTAATTATGACCAGAGAGTCACGACAGTGCCGCAAATTGTCAGATTGACGTGAATCCCGTAACGATGATGAAACCCGTAACAAGATGGAGTCATGCTCCATAGAGCATGTGGGCTCGCCACCCTTGGTCGCCAAGTATGTGAGCGTTAAGGGCGTAAAGCCTTCGGAAACGTTGTTGTTGACTGGTACGCGCTGGATGTTGGCCAGGGGGAGCTAACTTTGCTGTTTTGATGATGAATAAAAGACTTCTTGTTTGTTACACTGTGTCCTAACATTTATCGTCTCTTAGTTTAATAGTTAATTTCTTATCTGGGCATCTTGTTTTTTAGGGCCCTTCTTGTTTTTTTTTTCGCCCTCTCACATTAGATTTAGGGTCTTCAAAGGACGTCATCCATAAAATTTACTTGGTGTGGCCTGAGCAACATTTGCTAAAAATTTTCTTCGAAAGCTACCAGTAAATTACAAGCCCCTTCTTTATATATAGTGCGTTGAATTCGGTTCAGCCATTGACTCGGTCAAAGATCAAGGCGGAGATTCGCCCGAATGAGTCCCTTTATGTTCCTAACTAGTTCCAGCCGCCTGGCTACAATACCATGACAGTGCGTGTTTGCTGTTACCCAGGTGTCGTCACTTTAGGTTGGGGCTCAACAAAAGGCAGAAGACGGGGTTTGACAGTGACTTGCCATAATAACACAAGGTACATGCCATTATATTATATATTTATTTCTTTTTGTTTCCTATTCTGTGTTACAGTTAACCTCTCCTCTAATACCGTAGCATACTACGGTAGGTTTTGATCGTGTAAACCACACCGTTTTTCGTGTACCTCCTAGGCGTAGTTTACACGCTATTTGCGATGTACCCGGTTATGCTCCCAAAGTTTGTTCCCAAACACCAGTAGAATACCCATACAGGTCGCCTGGTGTTCAGTAGCAGTCCAGAGTAGGACCAGAGTAGGCCGCGTCTGTGTAATTTTGCGCCGACCATATCCTGACCATATTTGGCCATATTTTAGTCTTTTAGAACCATTTCCCGAACTAGCCTTGAGCCAGCCCCGAATGCTGGCCAACGGTAACGCTGGCATTTGTTTTAATGTTCTTTGTCTTCTTTTTGGGCATGGTGTCACCACTTTTTGTCAATATTGTCATAATACATGGAATTATTACCTTCGCCAAGAAGGTTATGTTTTCAGTAGCGTTTGTCCGTCTGTTTGTCCGTCTGTTTGTTTGTCTGTCTGTGAACAGCATAACTCAAGAAGCTTAATATGCATTGTCATGAAACTTGGTAGGTGGGTAGGTATTCATGAGAGCTAGAAATGATTAGATTTTGGGCCTCCTGGCGGCTTTCCTAGGTACTGCAGCAGAACTTCCGGTTTTGATATCTCACGATCTGGACATACATGTACCAGGGTCACGAATTTTTGGTGGTAGATAGCTCTTGGGGTAGGGAAGAAGTGACATGAGTCTGGACCCCCTGGCGGCTTGTTGGGGAACTGCAGGAGCATTTGTTTTTAAATAATTTTTGAAGAATTAGGATAACTCAAGAACCAGTTGGCGGTTTTCATGATTTTTTATTTGTAGGTAGCTGAAGTGATGCTTGACATAATCAATGACAATTATGCAAATCAGGAGCTAATTTGCATAATTAATGAGGAAATTCTTTAAATCTGCTTTGCTTGTGACATGTAATTGAGAACGGAAAAAAAACATCCGAGGATATATATTATGTAAATGAAGACCTAATTTGCATGATTAGGGAAATTTTCATAATTTCATAGTTGTAACTGCTGGGAATTTCATACTTGCCACATTTGGAAGATAAGTGAAGGCGAACATCAATAAATATAATTTATTCAAATCATTACCTTATTTGCATAATTTATGAGCAAGTGCTATAATAGCCTTTATGTTAAGATAAGGCTGTCATTGGGTGGAGAATATGATCAACTGATACGATCCATGCAAATGAGGATCTTATTTGCAAAATCAATTATCAAAATTGTATAATTCGTCACCCGCAAGGGTTAAAATAATTTGGCGAAGGTATGAGATCGTGGAACTCTTGTTAATAGTCTGAATTATAAGGCTGGATTGGAACCTGGTCTGCTGAGGTTGGGGGCATTTCCAAATCAGTCGGGAAAGTCAGATGATGTCGGTGGTGTTCGGCTAATGTGTCTACGTAATTCGGGGTGATCGGCACAAGCTAGCTCTAGAAGCATTCGGCACGGTTGGCAGTGGGTTGGGACGGATTCTTCTGTAGGTTGGCGCACGTTCGTCTCTAAACTTGACCCACGAACACGTGCCGAACACTGCTGACGTACAGCCGAACACAAGCCAAAAACTAACCAGCCAGGCCGACCTTCTCAAATACCCGAGAATGTCTTTTTCGGCTGGCGCAGCCGAACCGTAGCTGGTAACCAGACCGCCGTGAGCTCAGCGCTATCCCATCGGCGCCGAGAGCGTTTTGGGGCCGCCAACCAGGCCTCACTTACCGCGCTTCTTCGCTCACAAAAGAAGACGAAACGTAATACAGGAAGTCAGCGGATACAGCGGGTACCAGCTGGAGATAGGTCCGTGGTATATCTCACCTTTGCTTGATAAAGGCCGGGGCCGAAAAATTACCGCCAAGCCGCGACCAAAGGTTTCCACCCAGGCTAGCCGAACGCCAGCCTACCCAGCCAAACGACAGCCGATTACCATGGTTGGTCGGGCGGTCGGCTAGCCTTCGGGAAGCCAGACTCGTGTATGCGTGACCATGGTGTGTCCTAACACTCTTATCACGTTTAGGCCACGTGCACAGTAAGTAATTTTTATGGAT